AAAATTGTGGCACAACCAGTCATTGATTTCCTCAATGCATTTACCAAGAGCCTGTACAGGGCCTCGGTCTCCTGGTGACATTGTGATATATATTTGTGTGTCATCTGCATAGCTGTGGTAGTTTATTTTGTTGTTCTTTATAATCTGGGTGAATAATCTGAGACAAGTACCATTCTCCTGGCAACTGTCAAAGCCAGATTCCGACACATCAAATTCCCCAGGGAGGATATGAAAAGTGGCAGGTTAGTCTTCTTAGACTGTGAAATTTCCATCAGTAATGGGGAACATCTAAAAGCTGATGTGTACCGGAAACCTACACATATGGATCAGTATTTAATGTTTGACTCTCATCATCCACTGGAGCACAAACTGGGTGTCATCAGAACGCTACAACACAGAGCGAACACCATCCCCACAGATTCAGCAGCCAGGGAAGCAGAACAACATCACATCAAGAAGGCTCTGAGTAACCGTGGTTATCCCAGCTTGACTTTTGTCAAAGTTGGGAAGGCGCCAACTGATCCAGGAGAGAAGGGCAAGCGCTGCCTAAACGAAAACCTGTAGTGATCCCGTACGTGTAAGGAGTACAGTTGAGACACATTTTTTCTAAACACCACGTCTCTGTGGCTTTAAACCCCAAAACACGCTGTGCCAAAAATTGGTCCACCCCAAGGATCGGGTCCCCCGACACAAACAGAGTAACATAGTGTACGCTGCCAGGAGTATTGCCAGCATTTATACATCAGGGAAACCAAACAACCTCTGGTGAAGCGGATGGCACAACACAGAAGAGCCACCTCTTCAGGCCAGGACTCTGCAGTCTATTTACACCTACTGGCCAGTGGACACTCTTTCAATGATGAGGATGTACACATCCTAGACAGGGAGGAACGCTGGTTTGAGTGCGGAGTCAAGGAAGCCACTGCTGTTCACATGACTGTGGAATATTTAGTAGCAAGGACATTTCACGACTGAGCTTGCACTGGAATTCACTGAGGTCTTGAGATCAACTCATTCTTTCACAAATCTTTGTAGAAGAAATCTGCATGTCTAGGTGCTTGATTGATTCCATAGCCACAGGTGCATAAAACCTGTGGCCATGGAATTGATTGGAAGACCTGAATTTAATGATTTGGATGGTTGATTTTTTTTACTTTTGGCAATATAGTGTATTTTGATGCCAAGTCATGTAAGGAAAAGAATTAAAAAACTAATATTTTCAAATAAAAGTCCTTACTTATAAGAATTGCAGATGTTGCTGCTTGGTCTTCACTTGTTTAAGTGGAAAAATCCCAGATTTTTCTGTGTGGGAAAATTCTAGTAAATCACAAGTTTCTGAAATACGCAGAACAACCCATCGGAAACCAATAACAAATCTGGGTTCAAAGTCACATTTATTTCCCCCATTTTAATGCTCACTTTGAACTTTAGGAGGCCATCTTGACCATGTCTAGATACCTGAATGCACTGACTCGGTTGCATGTGATTAGCTGATTAGATATTTGTTTTAATGACTAGCTAAACAGGTGCACCTAGTAAAGTAACCAGTGATTGCATTTGTAAAGCATTTGCTGCAATTTTCATAGCCTCCTCTATCAGTTGTTTTATCTCACTTGTGAAATGAAACTTTCTATAGTTCAATTTTAGCAGATGACAGCTTGCGACAGTTTCTAAAATGTGCAATAGTGATTTTATTTACCATAGATCACCACTTGCTTGAAGCTGGAACAAGTAGATGCTTTTTGTAGTTGAATTTTTACTATAAATAAATCAATAAGTCATAATCATGAAAAAGTTATCATAAATAAGTCATGAAAGATAGGATGAATTTAAGATAACAATTGCTCTTTCAGCTTGTTTTTAAGTTTTTTGTTTTTGTCAGCCTTCCCTACAGTTTTCTCTTCTAGCTTGGTTCATCATGAATTGGTGGCAAACTACAGCCACTTGTTTTGGGTGAAAGGATCACAGCCTGAACTGGTGCCATACATGCTGCTGGCCCACATTGATGTAGTACCTGCTTCAGAGTCAGATGGTTGGGAAGCACCACCATTTTCTGCAAAGGAGATCGATGGCTTCATCTACGGCAGAGGAACCATAGATGACAAAAACAATCTAATGGTGTGAAAACATTACTTTTGTGTGAGCTTACTTTTAAACAGACTTGAGGTATATTTGGCTAAACAGCTGATTTATTTCTTCTAGGGAATACTTCAGGCGCTGGAGTACTTGCTGTTAAAGGGCTATGCTCCACGCAGGGGATTTTACATCGGTCTTGGTCATGATGAAGAAGTATGTTAACAGTTTCACTATGACATTACAAACTTAAGTGGGATTGGAAATATCACATTTTAATGGCTGTGCTCTTCAAAATCTCTTTTTTTAAGATCAGTGGTCTCAATGGAGCGATGAACATAGTGCGTATTCTGAAGCAACGTGGTGTCCAGCTGTTGTTTGTCATGGATGAGTGCCTGACTATACTTGATGGAATCATTCCTGCTATTGAAGGACCTGCTGCTCTGTAAGAACCTGCCTGAACATGTGTTGTGCACTTGTGTTGATCACATCTTATGTGTATGTGTATGATTTATGATTTGCAGAATCGGGTTAAGTGAAAAAGGCCAGGCCGTTATAAAGCTTAGTGTGTCTGTGGCCCCTGGTCACTCCTCGATGCCTCCCAGGGAAACTAGCATTGGGATCTTAGCCACAGCAGTCAAAAGGTGAGAGGAACATTGTTTTTTAAACTATAATGAGTTCTGTTTAGCTTCTCTGTTCATATGTTTCACTGCCTTCCATAATTTTACTACCCCATGTTTAAAAAGCTAGTATAAAAGATTTAACTGTGATCCTGTTTCCTCAGACTAGAGGACAACCCAATGCCGAGGTTATTTGGTTATGGCCCTGAAGGTGACACCTTTGAGCATCTGGCCCACAAGGTAGGGTAATCTAAATACTTCTTTACTAGTAGTATACTCATGTACTCATTCTTTACCAACTACTAATTCTTTGCCTTCAGTTCAGTTTACCACTAAAGTTCATAATGTCGAATTTGTGGCTCTTCTCTCCGCTCCTTAGCAGGTAATAACTGCTAAATATCATTTAAATATAAATTCAAATGTCATGTTTTCTTGTGATTGGTTCCAGTGAAATAGACCAGTTTTTATGTTTCAGGATACTTGAAAGAAAACCAGTATCGAATGCATTTGTAAGGACTACCACAGCAGTCACCTTTTTTAATGCAGGAGTAAAGGTGCAGTGATTATTTTAAATTGAATGTAATTCACAAGAAGTAAGATTTTAAGCCTGTTACTTTTCTTTGTAAAAATTCAATATCTCCCTCCCTCTGCAGATAAATGTTATTCCTTCCCTTGCTGAAGCTTATGTAAATCTACGAATTCACTCAGCGCAGTCGGTACAAGAGGTAGAGTCCTTTTTGAGAATGAATGCCTTACTATGTACACTTTGACATGAATATGAGATGTGTGCTGTCTTTTTTAGGTACTGGACATCATCAAGGATACGGTGGGCGACCAGCGAGTGAAGGTAGAACTTGTTAATGGATTTGACCCTCTACCCATCAGCGGTGCTGATGACAAGGTCTTTGGCTTCCAAATTATTAAGAAAACGGTGCTGGACTTGTTTCCAACAGTTACAGTTGCTCCAGGTAGGGTTCATACAGATTTGTATGGAAGCATTTTAAAGCATCTTTCAGGACATTATAAGTAATTTAATATCATATTTAAATGTGCAGCTATCTGTATTGGAAACACAGACAGTCGACACTTCGTCGACCTGACCAAAAATATTTATCGGTTTTCCCCGGCTTGGTTTAAGCCAGGTGACTTTGAGAGGTGAGAATTCAGCAGCTTTTTAATACTGTCAAAATATATTTTCACCAAAAATGTCTGCAGACCTCAATTTAAAATTGAACAAATACAGTAAGAAGAATTCCACGTGCAGTGATTATTTCTCAACTCTAGAAACAGATCATGCAGCATGAATAGAAGAGGGGAATATATAAAATACTTTCTTGTTCCAAGTACCATGAATCCTTTTTTTCCTTTGTTTCTCAGATTCCATGGCATCAATGAAAGGATTTCCACTAAGAACTACGAGGAGATGATTGTTTTTTACTTCAATTTGATCCAGAACTGTGACATTAGGAAGCTCCCTGAGCCCCACAGCTCTGTCCATGAACTCTAAGCAATTGACAACATTGGTGATAAGATAAACACATGAATAGCATACAAATGCATTGATATTGCACTAAATAACTTTTGCATTATAGAATCAGAAACTACAATTTTGCTCATTTCAAAGTGGGATGTACTTTTATCTTTTATGTGGACTACTGACTCTTTTCAGTGATATGTGAGTAGATAGAGCACTGACCTTTCTGCAGTAAAATCACTGTGAATTGGCTATCTAGAATTTTGCATTCAAGATTAAGTTTTGGTGCTCTATGCAGACTGATGTACTATTTTTTTCTGAACTCTATGGTGGTATGATATGATTCAATTAACCAATTATTATATATGTCTTATTGTGGGACACTGATAGTAGTGCAGTCATAAAGATACATGTTTTTTTGATTTGGACCGCTCATAATGAATGGTACAAATGACAGCACTACCTACAGGGATGCTTAACTTGAATCAAACACTGGACTACATGTTCAAAGAATGCTGTTTTACTGGCTGACTCATTAAAATGATTCCAGATTTGTAAATGTGATTGAATCTGTTCACAATTTTAGATAGGCTTTCTTAACACAACAGTATGAGCAATTTGACAGTTTTTAATAACCGCTCAGGTATTAAAAGGCTGATCGGGTGTTGTCAACCCAAGCCTTGTGTCACCTAGGATTTTCAGCAGCAACTTCACCTACTTCCAAGGTGCATGAAGAGGACAAGGAACTAACAACATAGGAACTCCAGCAACACTTAAAAGTAAAGTGGAACAACGTTATTAACTGACCAACGTTCATCCTCAGATGAATAATGTAATGTAATTATAATCATATTTTATTTCATACGTTGCAAAACCTGGACTGGTTCACATAAGGATTAGACTCTGAAAGCCAAACCTCAAAAGAAAAAAATTCAGATGAAGATCATGCATTTATGTTTAAAATGATCAAAACTGACCAAATGTGACATGACATTATAGTGACCCAAATGGTAATAAAAACAAGCTGAAAACCAAAACTCAGAACAAATAGTCCAGAGTCTCTACGGCCTGTCACAGCACTTACAACTGTCTCGAAAGACTAAATTAGCTGGGCAGTTTTGGATCCACGTGATGCCATTGGCACAGCTGTAAAAAGAACCTGGAGCGTCAGGTTTGGCATAGAGCCCACCAATTTTTGTAGCACAGAAGTTGTCAGTGGTTGTAGTAGTGATTGATGGTCTGGGATGAGGCAAAATGTGATCCTTATTTGTTGATGTCTCCTGATTCAGGTTTGTGTGAGCAGTTGGAAGTGGAGGAAGATCTGTAGAAACAATAGCTATAAAGTTATACTACTACTACTACTAACAACAATAATAATAATAATACTTATTATTATCATCATAAATTATTATTATTACTTATCAGTAAGTGAAATTAAATTAAAGAAGTTAACTTTTAGTTAATATAATATAAAAAAATATCCTACATAAAACCACGGCTATATTAGGGTGCGCAAATTAATAGTCAGTTAATAAATTAAACATTTGCTAGTGTGCATGTTAGTAGCATACAAGCTCTTTATTAGTCAAAGTTGTTAATAATGCCAACAATAAAATTCTTCGCAAAACCTTTTTTTTTTTAACAATTAGGCCAATAATTTTCCTAAATTACGAAATTTTCCTAAAACATTTGTAATTACTGCTTGCTAATTAGTAAGCAAGGTGTTGTACATGGATGTAGGGGCCTATAGTCAATACTCTTTGATAGCCCTAATAACTGCAGTTGTTTCTTATGAACTGCAAATGTTAATAATGTTCAGATAACCTCCTATTAAATGATGGTCTTTTAAAATGTGCTTCCATTTGCTCCTTGTTCTAAAGTGAGGTGTAAGTCACCAGAAATTTGACACTTGGCACACATGGGCTCCGTACGAGTTCTTCCTCTTTACACTTCCCTGTTGCAATTTATATGTCCTTTTCTCAGGTGTTTCAATAAACCTTAATCAAATTTGGAGTTATACACACATTTTATTTGAATATTTTTTAATGGACAACTTAAGACATTTTAAAATGGTATTAAAATATTTTTACATGTTTTTTCCTTATCTTTATTTTTATTTTTTAAATGTTTAGAACAGATCTCCTCCTTAAACTTTCTGTTTATTTCAGCTGACCAGCTTTCGGTTTGCAAAAGGCCAGAAAGCTATTCAACAGTGTCTCTCTGTTTCATATTATATAGATCCTGTCTGGGTTAATAAGTGTCAGTGTAATAGTAGCTTTCGAGCATTTGCTGTGAGTGAAAATTCAAATCCCGAGTTCAAAGATTTAACCAGTATTCATCTGGATACATTGAACACTTGTTTTGTGTTTTATTTAATAAAAATAGATCATCCTCAAGTGCTTTTATGACAAATTGACCAGTCTTTTATTGCTAAAGAGCAAATAATGTTAGGATTGTCACTGATGTGCTGAAGCCTTCTTACGTATTTCATTTAACAAACATTAGGAAGCTATGATAGAATACAGATATCCCAAATAAGGCATTAACAGCCTTTATATTGACTAATTGGAAAATATGCATACTAATAAGTAACTGGCTAGCTGTCCAAAAGTTGATTCTGTTCATCTGGACGTAGCGTTTTGTGGGAGAAACGTTTCGTCACTCATCCAAGTGACTTCTTCAGTTTCAGCAGACTGCAGGTTTCCCCAAATCCAAAACTGGCTAGCTCAAAATGCTAATGTAGGAATTTTATTACCTGGAAACAAAAGAGAGCGAAGAGAACCGATGAGGGGGTATTGTCCCTGTCCACAGAACTGTCCATTAAAGTCGTCTAGATCCAGAGCCCAGACAAAGGCTCCTCCAAAAGTGTTGTTTTTTAGGTAACGGACCTGAAGCAGTAACAATCGAAACAACTTAATAACAGTATGCACATTTTAATGTGATATGTTGTTTTAGTACTAATGTTATCTGCCAAAGAAAAACTGAGCAACATCCAGATGCACATGTCTACCTTAGTCATAAAACTTTCTTTATTGTCATATCCAACCCACTCGTTTTGTTTGGTGGCATATGAGACTTTCTGGTCCTCAATCAAGTGGACACTGGCCCCTTGAAGAAAGGTGCAAATCTGAAAACAGATAAAAAAATGCATTCTGTGTGGTAACTTGACATATTAACATTGATCTGCTACTAAGACATAGAAACTGACTTAAAATGAACATATTAATATGAGAGTGGGGATTTCTTTTTACCTCATAATAAGACCAAATGCCGGGCTCCCTTGTAAATGTGCCAGCAGCAGCAGGGCTGCTGGCAGGGGCTCCAACTTGACTGGATTGAGTAGAAAGACGAAACGTGCGTCCGTATGTAGCAAAGCCCATATTTAACTTTTGTACAGGTGTTCCCTTTTCTGCCCAGTACCTCATAGCAAAATCCTAAAATGTAAACATATGTAAGTTATATTGTCATTAATACTAGTATTATCAGGTTCAGTGACTCATTGACTTTATAAATAATTTGTGATTTAAATTCTCAAGTGTTAGAATTAGAGAAGGGTGTAAAAATTGTGACAATCAATGTCAATCCATCGACAGTTGGTTGAGAACTGTGTGGAAAAGTGGAGCGTGGCTGGGAGCAATTGCAGTCTAAAACAAAGCACTCAGAGAGCACAACTGTCCCTGAAGGGCAAGGGCTATACTAAAAGTTTGGTGTTTTATGTTTCACTGGTATTGTTATCCCCAATAATGATATCTGCATTGTTTTCATAGTCATTTCTGCACTATATTAATATTTTTGTGTCATTGTGAAGTCATATAATGTTATATCAAAAATTTTTCTAAAGAGCTCAGAAAAAGAAAGCGCTTATGTTCCCCTTTGACAAATATATTGCTTCAAAATTTGGAGATGATTTGATCGAAATGAAAGCTTTTTCCTAATACATACTAAAAGGGTGTATTTTTCATCTTTATTCATATGATTGGATCAGAATTAGCTGAAATCTTTGTGATTTACATGCAAATCTACATGCTTGAGATTTGAACATTTTTAACATATTTTCAGTCATTGTGTAATTTTGAGAAATATTATAGTGTCATAGTGATGTTGTAGTGTCTTGTGCAGCTCTCTCCATACCCTTTTATATGATATATAACTCAATATGGTTGTTTGAATTTATTTCATAAAGGTCAAAGGTTTGGCCAACCTAGGTACACATGCTCCCCAAGACCTAGTATATTGTTGTGAAGTCTGAACATGACCCATAAAAAAATTGTGTATGTAAAGTTTTTACTAGTTTTCACATTGACCTGATTTTCATGAAAATTAAATGACCTTAGATCAGCTTGTTGGTATCTATCATTTCATAAAATTTGAAACACTAGACCGCTAACAAACAGACAAAGAAACAAACGGAATGGATTACATAATCCCTCTTTTTCAGGGAGAAAAATGAACCCATCTACTCACAGTATTTAAGTAAACGTGGTCCCCAATATCTTGGGATCCTTTGTATAAGGGGCTGTTATGTCCTGTGACACTCTCCCAGGTACCATGAAAGTCATATGTCATCACATTAATAAAATCGACATACCTGATAAAGTGCATGAGAGGTCAAGGTCAGCAAAACAGGTTTTGCAGGGCATGCAATGTGATATTACTAATAAGCTTACTTTGACATCTCTGAGACTTCATAACCGGCATCAATGGTTCCTTTACCAGCAGACACAGCAGCAGAAATCATTAACCTGGGCTGTCCTGTCGATGTTCCCTCTGCCTCAAAGGCCTGTAGTAGCTCCTATAAACCACAGAAAAGAAAGGTAACTTCGTGGTTCATGCCAATCATCAGTAACTCCAAATCTGACCTTGCATAACACTGTGAATCTCTGCTTGTCTTCCAGAGGGCTTCCTCTTGCTGCAGGGTATTCCCAGTCTAGGTCTAGTCCATCAAAACCAAATTTTCTCAGTAGTTTGATAGAAGATTGTATAAATGTATTTCTTTTGGCTTGCGTTGACACCATAGTAGTGAACCTATGAAACCGATTGGCAAAAGAAAGGCACAATTAAAAAGATCTGTATAAAGAGAAAATTTATGATTCATTATTGTTTTATGCTTAGTGTCACACTTTTGCGTTCCGAAGTTCCAGCCTCCAACTGCCAGCAGGGTTTTAAGATTTGGATTCCTGTGGGAATGTAAAGATACAGCAGCAAAGATTATTTTTTCTCAACATTTTGTAAGTGATATGAGGAGAAAATAGACTAACCTTTGTTTGAGTCCATTAAAGGATCTATAGAGTTCCTCATCATTCCATTCTATGGTCACTAATTCATTTGCCTCATTAATACCAGAAAAGGCATAGATTAGGTGCGTACAAAGGTTTGGATCAATATTTGAAGGCATAAACCTCCCATTGCCAGGTCTGTATTGGGACCAGTTTGTGAAGTAACACACAAGTCTGGAGGATGAGACTGAATATGAAAGAACATTTTTCAATCTCTTTAAAACATTATATGACTGTCCAATATAAAAGGGTTGGTACAATTTATGAACTCACCCAGACTGCCAAAGGCGAGACAGAGACCTTAACAGTTGCATTTTTTTGTTACATACAAATAGTTAAATATAAAATTTGCATTTGCAAAATCTGTATTTCAATTTCCCTTACCTGAGATCACAATTAGGATGCGCATGATAGCTGAGGTCAGACTGGTAATGTAATAAAACAGTGCAGTAAAGAAAAAAAAAAAAGCAGAATCTATGATAATCATTAACTCAAAGTAAACCAAATGTCCTAAATTTAAGGACATTCTGGTATTGCTTCATAAGTCAAATAGTAACTGATTCATGAACTCACTCACACACACACACACACACACACACACACACACACACACACACACACACACACACACACACACACACACACACACACACAGTTTTGAAAGCCTCCACAACGTTTGCAGAAAACCTAAGATTGCTCATCACATAGCTTGCAAACACCTGGACCTGAAAGTTAAAATTACGCGGATATACAAAAAACAGCTGTCTTACTATTTTACATATGTTCCCCGCCTGTCTGCTTGTCTGTGAACTACTCCTACACCGTTAGGAGCTGAGGAACCAAAACCGTCACATGGGTACATCTTAGGCCCCTGAAGGATCTTACCTGATATTATGACGTCATCGTGTTTCCTAGCAGCCCCCTACCAAGCAGCAGTTTAGTAGTTATACACCTATAAAAGAAACTTAGCATCTTAATTTCATTACAGTAAAATCAAATTATATGCACAAATGTTGAATATTATAATGAATATATTATGGTCTGATCATGTTGTCTGGCAGCTTCCCAGTGACAGACTGAAATGACAGTAAAGCAGGACCTGAACATTGCAGAAGACCCACAAAATGTAATTTCTATAATTTGCCTATGCTTTATTAGATATCCTAACAGGGTCAAGCAACAATATTTAGCAAAAGGAAAGCGTTTTCATTCTACTGCAGCACCACGATGGTAACAGTGGTGCAGCACCACAACAGTCAAAAGTTTACTGACGCTTTTGCACCAACATTTGTTTTACTAAAATTCAACCTTGCAAAAAAAAAAACCTCAAAGCCATTTTTAATGTTAGCAATTGTTAAATATTATATTGAGCTGTGCATTGAAAAAGCTTGAGTACCAATGATGTGGAATTGCAGCGAGTATTATACTGACACATAATTTATTTTGGTGTTTCCTCAAAACAAAACCTAATTTTCAGCTTGGTCGGATGGCTGGAAAGTGCATGTGCTTACTTGTTGGCTCAATTTATGTCAGCTGTTTGTTTGTAAAGCTCTGACTCACTCTTTCTTTCTACCGTGCTGCAGCAGCCACTCTTCTCCTTTATTAATTCAACTATTCAAATAATGGTTTAACCTTTCACCGTGGTGTTGAGACCTTTATTGTGTTTGAGCCAGCCGTTACAATGCTGGCACAGGGACAGCCACAGCAGGTTTCGAGGAAAAGAAAATGCCAGATAAATGCCAGACAAACAGAAAAAAAGGAAACATGGCCAGATTTGTATTTGTTGTACAATCTTTTAGTTACCTTCATGTAAAGTTTAACCAAACCTGCTCCAGTTTCAAGTACATTAACTGGGTGTACAATTTTCAATCCAGAGACCAAAAATTCAATATTGTTCATCTAATTCTAACCTTTAAAGAAAAAAAATCTACAGCTAGCTGCAAATCTTGGCAAACCCATCCTAGCTTTAAAATGGACCTATATGTAGTTCAGGCTATAGTAGCTGCATTACATAATGTGTATTGCAGAGTACTGGGTACATTTGCTTAATGGTTAATACAGTTTTTAGAATTTATGGCTTTATTGACTGTCCAGGCAGTGTGGTTCTCATAAAAAATAAAAAGAATAAAAAACCATTTTTGCTAGATCAAGACAACTTTTATTCAGTGTCAATTAGGTACAGCATTTGCATGCATCACTGTAAACAAGATAATTTGGACATGTCTGGATGTAGACATGTCCATGGACACACTGATAAAAGGTGTGGGGATCCTCATCATTTACATACAGGCCATCTGGCTTTTCAGCGCAGAATCCACTTCCAGAAACAGGACTTGAGGTTGTTTTGGCAGTAGTAGCAGTAGTGGTAGTAGCCGTAGTAGTGGTAGTAGCTGTTGGGCCAGGAGGGATCGTAGAGACGAGTGGTGGATGTGTGGTTACCGGTGGAGGTGGTGGAGAATCTAGTAAATACAGTAAGTATATATATATATATATATATATATATATAATATACATATACACATATACATATATATATATATATATATATATATATATATATATATATATATATATATATATATATATATATATATATATATATATATATATATATATATGTATATATATATATATATATGTATATATTATATGTATATACATATACATATATGTATATACATATATATATGTATATATATATATGTATATGTATATACATATATATATGTATATATATATATATGTATATGTATATACATATACATATACATATGTATATACAGGAACTCAATGGGGATGTGGCGTACAACACTAGAGGCCAACTCCAAGCCCATAGCACAAGTCACCATCAAGTGCGGGATCTACCAAGGAGATGCTCTGTCCCCACTGCTGTTCTGCATAGGCCTGAACCCCCTCAGTGAGATCATTAACAAGACTGGCTACGGATACCGACTACGGAACGGAGCAGTTGTCAGCCACCTCCTGTACATGGATGACATCAAGCTGTATGCCAAGAGTGAACGAGACATCGATTCACTGATCCACACTACCAGGCTATACAGCAATGACATTGGAATGTCGTTCGGACTGGAGAAGTGTAGTCGGATGGTAACAAAGAGAGGGAAGGTAGTCAGAACTGAGGGGATTGAACTACCAGAAGGCAACATTGCAGACATAGAGGACAGTTACAAGTACTTGGGGATCCCACAGGCGAATGGGAACCATGAAGAGGCCGCTAGAAAAGCTGCAACCACCAAGTACCTGCAGAGGGTCAGACAAGTCCTGAGGAGTCAGCTGAATGGTAAGAACAAGATCCGGGCCATCAACACGTACGCCCTGCCCGTGATCAGGTACCCTGCTGGGGTAATAGGCTGGCCAAAGGAGGAGATAGAAGCCACTGACATAAAGACAAGAAAGCTCCTTACCATGCATGGAGGGTTTCACCCCAAATCCAGCACCCTGAGGCTGTACGCTAAGCGGAAGGAAGCGGGCCGGGGACTGGTGAGTGTCAGCACCACAGTCCAGGATGAGACAACGAACATCCAAGAATACATTGGGAAGATGGCCCCAACTGACCGAGTGCTCAGTGAATACCTCAGGCAGCAGAAACCCAAGAAAGAGGAGGGAGACGAGGAACCATCATGGAAGGACAGGCCCCTGCACGGTATGTACCACCGGCAGATAGAGGAGGTGGCTGATATCCAGAAATCCTACCAGTGGCTGGACAAAGCTGGACTGAAAGACAGCACAGAGGCACTAATCATGGCAGCACAAGAACAAGCTCTGAGCACAAGATCCATAGAGTCTGGGGTCTATCACACCAGGCAAGACCCCAGGTGCAGGCTGTGTAAAGATGCCCCAGAGACAATCCAGCACATAACAGCAGGGTGCAAGATGCTAGCAGGCAAGGCATACATGGAACGCCATAACCAAGTGGCCGGCATAGTGTACAGGAACATCTGTGCCGAGTATAACCTGGAAGTCCCGAGGTCAAAATGGGAGATGCCCCCAAGGGTGGTGGAGAATGACCGAGCTAAGATCCTGTGGGACTTCCAGATACAGACGGACAAAATGGTGGTGGCTAACCAACCGGACATAGTGGTGGTAGACAAACAGAAGAAGATGGCCGTAGTGATCGATGTAGCGGTTCCGAATGACAGCAATATCAGGAAGAAGGAACACGAGAAGCTGGAGAAATACCAAGGGCTCAGAGAAGAGCTCGAGAGGATGTGGAGGGTGAAGGTAACGGTGGTCCCCGTGGTAATCGGAGCACTAGGTGCGGTGACTCCCAAGCTAGGCGAGTGGCTCCAGCAGATCCCGGGAACAACATTGGAGATCTCTGTCCAGAAGAGCGCAGTCCTGGGAACAGCTAAGATACTGCGCAGGACCCTCAAGCTCCCAGGCCTCTGGTAGAGGACCCGAGCTTGAAGGATAAACCGCCCGCAGGGGCGTGCTGGGTGTTTTTATATATATATATATATATATGTATATATATATATATATATGTATATATATATATATATGTATATATATATATATATATGTATATATGTATATGTATATACATATATGTATATGTATATACATATATATATGTATATATATATATGTATATGTATATACATATATATATGTATATATATATATATGTATATGTATATATATATATGTATATGTATATACATATACATATGTATATACAGGAACTCAATGGGGATGTGGCGTACAACACTAGAGGCCAACTCCAAGCCCATAGCACAAGTCACCATCAAGTGCGGGATCTACCAAGGAGATGCTCTGTCCCCACTGCTGTTCTGCATAGGCCTGAACCCCCTCAGTGAGATCATTAACAAGACTGGCTACGGATACCGACTACGGAACGGAGCAGTTGTCAGCCACCTCCTGTACATGGATGACATCAAGCTGTATGCCAAGAGTGAACGAGACATCGATTCACTGATCCACACTACCAGGCTATACAGCAATGACATTGGAATGTCGTTCGGACTGGAGAAGTGTAGTCGGATGGTAACAAAGAGAGGGAAGGTAGTCAGAACTGAGGGGATTGAACTACCAGAAGGCAACATTGCAGACATAGAGGACAGTTACAAGTACTTGGGGATCCCACAGGCGAATGGGAACCATGAAGAGGCCGCTAGAAAAGCTGCAACCACCAAGTACCTGCAGAGGGTCAGGCAAGTCCTGAGGAGTCAGCTGAATGGTAAGAACAAGATCCGGGCCATCAACACGTACGCCCTGCCCGTGATCAGGTACCCTGCTGGGGTAATAGGCTGGCCAAAGGAGGAGATAGAAGCCACTGACATAAAGACAAGAAAGCTCCTTACCATGCATGGAGGGTTTCACCCCAAATCCAGCACCCTGAGGCTGTACGCTAAGCGGAAGGAAGGGGGCCGGGGACTGGTGAGTGTCAGCACCACAGTCCAGGATGAGACAAGGAACATCCAAGAATACATTGGGAAGATGGCCCCAACTGACCGAGTGCTCAGTGAATACCTCAGGCAGCAGAAACCCAAGAAAGAGGAGGGAGACGAGGAACCATCATGGAAGGACAGGCCCCTGCACGGTATGTACCACCGGCAGATAGAGGAGGTGGCTGATATCCAGAAATCCTACCAGTGGCTGGACAAAGCTGGACTGAAAGACAGCACAGAGGCACTAATCATGGCAGCACAAGAACAAGCTCTGAGCACAAGATCCATAGAGTCTGGGGTCTATCACACCAGGCAAGACCCCAGGTGCAGGCTGTGTAAAGATGCCCCAGAGACAATCCAGCACATAACAGCAGGGTGCAAGATGCTAGCAGGCAAGGCATACATGGAACGCCATAACCAAGTGGCCGGCATAGTGTACAGGAACATCTGTGCCGAGTATAACCTGGAAGTCCCGAGGTCAAAATGGGAGATGCCCCCAAGGGTGGTGGAGAATGACCGAGCTAAGATCCTGTGGGACTTCCAGATACAGACGGACAAAATGGTGGTGGCTAACCAACCGGACATAGTGGTGGTAGACAAACAGAAGAAGATGGCCGTAGTGATCGATGTAGCGGTTCCGAATGACAGCAATATCAGGAAGAAGGAACACGAGAAGCTGGAGAAATACCAAGGGCTCAGAGAAGAGCTCGAGAGGATGTGGAGGGTGAAGGTAACGGTGGTCCCCGTGGTAATCGGAGCACTAGGTGCGGTGACTCCCAAGATAGGCGAGTGGCTCCAGCAGATCCCGGGAACAACATCGGAGATCTCTGTCCAGAAGAGCGCAGTCCTGGGAACAGCTAAGATACTGCGCAGGACCCTCAAGCTCCCAGGCCTCTGGTAGAGGACCCGAGCTTGAAGGATAAACCGCCCGCAGGGGCGTGCTGGGTGTTTTTATATATATATATATATATATATATATATATATATATATATATATATACATACATACATACAGTGGGGCAAAAAAGTATTTAGTCAGCCACCGATTGTGCAAGTTGCCCCCACTTAAAATGATGACAGAGGTCAGTAATTTGCACCAGAGGTACACTTCAACTGTGAGAGACAGAATGTGAAAAAAAAATCCATGAATCCACATGGTAGGATTTGTAAAGAATTTATTCGTAAATCAGGGTGGAAAATAAGTATTTGGTCACCTCAAACAAGGAAAATCTCTGGCTCTCACAGACCTGTAACGTCTTCTGTAAGAAGCTTTTCTGTCCCCCACTCGTTACCTGTATGAATGGCACCTGTTTGAACTCATCATCTGTATAAAAGACACCTGTCCACAGCCTCAAACAGTCAGACTCCAAACTCCGCCATGGCCAAGACCAAAGAGCTTTCGAAGGACACCAGGAAAAGTATTGTAGACCTGCACCAGACTGGGAAGAGTGAATCTACAATAGGCAAGCAGCTTGGTGTGAAAAAATCAACTGTGGGAGCAATCATCAGAAAATGGAAGACATGCAAGATCACTGATAATCTCCCTCGATCTGGGGCTCCACGCAAGATCTCATCCCGTGGGGTCAAAATGATCATGAGAACGGTGAGCAAAGATCCCAGAACCACACGGGGGGACCTGGTGAATGACCTGCAGAGAGCTGGGACCAAAGTAACAAAGGTCACCATCAGTAACACACTACAACGGCAGGGAATCAAATCCCGCAGTGCCAGACGTGTTCCGCTGCTGAAGCCAGTGCATGTCCAGGCCCGTCTGAAGTTTGCCAGAGAGCACATGGATGATACAGCAGAGGATTGGGAGAATGTCATGTGGTCAGATGAAACCAAAGTAGAACTTTTTGGTATAAACTCAACTCGTCGTGTTTGGAGGAAGAAGAATACTGAGTTGCATCCCAAGAACACCATACCTACTGTGAAGCATGGGGGTGGAAACATCATGCTATGGGGCTGTTTTTCTGCCAAGGGGACAGAACGACTGATCCGTGTTAAGGACAGAATGAATGGGGCCATGTATCGTGAGATTTTGAGCCAAAACCTCCTTCCATCAGTGAGAACTTTGAAGATGAAACGAGGCTGGGTCTTCCAACATGACAATGATCCAAAACACACCGCCCGGGCAACAAAGGAGTGGCTCCGTAAGAAGCATTTGAAAGTCCTGGAGTGGCCTAGCCAGTCTCCAGACCTCAACCCCATAGAAAATCTGTGGCGGGAGTTGAAAGTCCGTGTTGCTCGGCGACAGCCCCAAAACATCACTGCTCTCGAGAAGATCTGCATGGAGGAATGGGCCAAAATACCAGCTACTGTGTGTGCAAACCTGGTAAAGACCTATAGTAAACGTTTGACCTCTGTTATTGCCAACAAAGGTTATGTTACAAAGTATTGAGTTGTATTTTTGTTATTGACCAAATACTTATTTTCCACCCTGATTTACGAATAAATTCTTTACAAATCCTACCATGTGGATTCATGGATTTGTTTTTCACATTCTGTCTCTCACAGTTGAAGTGTACCTCTGGTGCAAATTACTGACCTCTGTCATCATTTTAGGTGGGGGAACTTGCACAATCGGTGGCTGACTAAATACTTTTTTGCCCCACTGTGTGTGTGTGTGTGTGTGTGTGTATATATATATATATATATATATATTATATATATATATATATATATATGTAAGTTTAGGAAATTTTGGAGAAAAAAACCTTTTCTTAACTAGAGATGATGACACTGATGAATATTAAAATGTCCATGTTTATACTTTTTTCAGTTTACCTGAATTCAAAAGAGTGCGCAGATAACTAATGAGAGGATAATGTCCCTGTCCACAGAACTGTCCAGCAAAGTCATCGAGATCCAGAGACCAGACAAATGCTCCTCCAAATCTGTTGTCTTTCACATACTGTGCCTGTGAAATATAAACTGTGAGTTGCAATTTAAAACTACCACATTTCCACCAGTGCACAATCCAAAAGTAACCAAATGTGACCAAACTTTACCTGATGTCTGTACTACTTTAAGAGCAGTAAGATATAGCTTCCAGTTAATAAGAACATTATGATTTGTTTTGTATTATCACCTTAAACATAAATTGGCATTGGTACCTTGATTTCAAAGCTCTGCCTGTTATCAAAGCCAACCCACTCATTGCCCTTAATGGCATAGGGCACCTTTTGCTCATCAATCCACTTTATGCTGCCTGTTTGGATGAATGTGCAAATCTGTAGAGAAGAAAATAATACTTCAACACCCTTCACACAGTTTGCGATTTATGGAAAACATTGTGGTGTAATAAATCTGAACATAAGCTGCTTTATATTAGCTGACCTCGTAGTAAGACCAAAACCCAGCTTCACGGGTGTAAGGCCCAGCGCTCGCTGGTCCTGTGGCTGCAGCTCCAAGACCATTAGCAGCTGTTGATGTGGTGAATGTGCGTCCATATGTGGGGAAACCGACTAAGAGCTTTTCCATAGGAGCTCCCTGGTCCCTCCAATATTTCATAGAAAAATCCTTTGAGAGAAAAAAATAGTATATTATATAATATTATTATAATGATATTTTATAGTGATATATATATATATATATATATGAATGTTGATGAAAGTTTCACTCACCACATTGTAATATATGTTATCACCCTAATCGACGGAGCTGCGGTACAGAGGGCTGTTATGACCAGTGAATGGGTCCCAAGCTCCGTGGTAGTCATAGGTCATGACATTTATAAAGTCTAGAAACCTGTAAAACATCGCCATTAAATACAATGTAACAAAATAATATCAATAATAATAATAAGTTAAATAAGTTAAGAACTTGAACATATTTAAAGTAAAAATCCTTAAAAATGCCCATGTATTCAAACTGTAACTTTAATACTTTTTATCAGCATGTATCATTCAAGAAAAATCATTCAGTGTATTCACATTATGTAACTATCTCTCTACATCATTTTTTCATGTTATTACTGTGGTTTGCTGTCTAAGCCTTTCACATTAAGCAATGTGTGTATAGTAAATAAAACCACAGGTAGCTCTTCTGATCAAATATTTGCTGTCCCTGTAAATCTGGGACCGTCAGTGTTTTAGTATGAATTAACACTTGCATTTATTTAAGTAATCTCCAGTGCTGCAAAATGAAAAGTGGGATGAAATCTTTAGGATTGGAACTTTAGTGACTTCCTATCAAATAAACTCACTTTGACACATCGGCAATCTCGTAGCCGTTGTCAATGTTCCCCTTCCCACCGGCCACTGCAGCTGTGAGCAAGAGCCGTGGTTGTTTGGTCTCAGTAGCTTCTTTTTCAAAGGCAGCAAGTAATTCCTAGACGCAAGAATACAGTAGACAAGGATGATATTGTGCATTCATTTTAATAAGAAAGCATATTTTATATGTAAAATACATATAAAAGGAACGATAACATACTAAAATATAATGTGCATAGTATTAACAAGTATACATTGATTTCCAGACTAACCTGTAAGAGCACTGTGTATCTCTTCTTGTCCTCTGGTGGGCTTCCCCGTGCTCCAGGATACTCCCAGTCCAGGTCAAGTCCATCAAAGCCGTGCAGCCTCAAGAATCTGATGCAAGACTGGATGAATGTCTGGCGACTGGCAGGAGTTGAAGCCATGATGGTAAACCTATTGAGATGGAAAGTTTATAGATATATTGAGGTGATGATGAATTTGTTGTTGTTATGTGAAATAATGTAATTCTACAGCTTTGTGATGCTGTTGTCATGTAGACTAACTGTGCAGTGCCAAAGTTCCAGCCACCAACAGCCAACAGAGTCTTCAGCTGGGGGTTTCTGTGATGGAGATGTAGAAAAACAGGTAGATTTATAATTAAGACATTTTGCAAGTCCTCATTCCTCATGTCATGTAAAATCATCCAACTCTTTTTATTTGTTTACCAATTTTTTTATTCATTTAACATAACTCCTATGAAAATTTTGCATTAGAAACCCTTTACTTCAAAAATTGTGTAAGGAGTGATGATCAGTGATAGTCCTTTAATAATTCTTTGTGGTTCGAGGTGGCAGAAGTTGTCTTTAACCTGGGTTGTTTTTGGTCAGCAGGGAATGACTCTTCTGTTTGTATAAACAGGTTGAATTTTGTATAGGTCTGAAAAAAACCACAGTACTGCTAACTGGATTTTGTATCTCAGTACTGAGTCAATTTGAACCCCTTAAAACAGGTTATGTGAGGATACAGTGTCCTATTTTGTTTTAGTCAGATTCACTCCTTTCTTGTTATGTCTCATTTAATAAAAGCAAAATGCTGACTACCAAAAGCTCAACTTGAGTTTGTTTCCACAAATCATTAACATGTGACATGTCTTTTATATATGAACACAGTTTAAAATTTATCCAATTTGATGCAAAAACGAATGAAGCACAAGAATGCTACATTTGAGAAATGGTGTGTGTTTCATAAAAAAAGCTTCTTATCCTGGTATAAATACAAATATATAACAGAAACTAATATAAGTTTCTATAAGAACACTTAATACGTATAAAGATTTTTAGGATATCAGAATCATGATAAGAATGCAATAAAAACAGTGGCACACTCGTAGAACATTATCAGAATCAGAATCAGAAAGACTTTATTTATCCCCAAGGGGCAATTTTACATAATAATTTTACATAATATTTACATAATATTCATCAGTGTCATCATCTCTAGTTAAGAAAAGGTTTTTTTCTCCAAAATTTCCTAAACATATATATATATATATATATATATATATATATATATATAAATGATAGGTTCTGTGTTCATTTAAAGACCACTGTCTTGTTAAATCTGTTTTATTTTGAGATTTTTGCATGTAACTCTTTCCTCTTTCCTCTTTATTTTGGCTGCACTAGTAAAATTAAAACAAATCTGTCAATAATTAAGTGCTTAGGGTTAAAAATTATTTGAATACCACTTCACCGTTCATGCCAGAACAGCTGCTGAACCTTGCACACTTTTGTTATTAATGATTGAGAACAAAGCCACGGTTAAAGTAATATTTCAACCACGCACCTGTTCTTGAGGGCATTGAAGGATCTGTAAAGAACATCATCATTCCACTCGTACATTGTTATCTCATTTGAGGGGCTGATTACAGAGAAGGCGTAGATCAGGTGTGTGCACAGGTTGGGGTCTACATTTTCAGGAATGTATCTCCCAGCACCCGGTCTGTATTGGGACCAGTTGGTGAAGTAGCATGCCAGTTTGGTTGAAGACACTTTTGCAAAGAGGAGAATTTTTTTTTCTCATTTTAAGTCATGTAATTCAGAAACACGTGTCAGTAATACATATAGATGATCAATACATACCAACTTGAAGACAAATCAAAAGGGACAAACCTGGAAAAACAAATATATTAGTTATTATTTTGCAGAATTTTACACTTTTGAATCAATTAGTAACTGAAATAATGATGATTTATTTACCAGCCAAGATTGTTACTTGAGCCATGTTGAATCAGTTGATCCTTTTTCTATCTGCAACATGTGATCTGCAACACCAACAAATAGTTATTTACGATAATTATTCAAAATTTCATGAATCACTGTAAGACTGATTTTGACAGAATCAAACTAACTCTGCGTTCTACAGCTAATTCTTCTGTGAACTGCTGCTACGCATATTAAAGTCACGAAAACCTTCTTGCGCTGATGATGAACTTTTCACAGGTAGTTTGACACAAATATTCTAGGGAGTCCTTTTTATAGTTCCGATAGGGCAGGGACAAAGGCTGTGTGCCAACAAAATGTAATAAATGCATCAGTCATAAGATGACTGCTTATAGCTTTTATTACCTGATAAATCTGACTCCAAATTTCTTCAACCTGCTACAGTGAAATCACCTCAGATCATTTCCTGCTGATAAGAGGACCTGATAACATTGTGAGCCGATGCATCGTATTTTACAGAACATCATGATCATACTGGTTTCCATAGAAATGTCTTGATAAACAGCTAACAACAAACTTCAAAGTGGTCTTTCGTTTAGTTACACACTGTTGCTTCGTGTTATGCCTCAAATAAATTAGCGCTGCAGCTTTGTATCACTTTTGTAAACAATGAGATTATTAATGATGAGATTATTTTATGAAGTAATTGATCAAATAATTGATGGTTTATTTAATAATTTGGATCATTTGGTCGATAAAAAATAGTTTGTTGGTGTTTATTTGCAATTACAAATAATCAGTCCGAAACCCAAAGATGATCATTTTTCTGTAATTTTTATATGATAAACACGTAATCACCTTTATAAATGAGATGTAATTGATAAAATAATTGATAATAGAGGTTTAATTAATGATTTGGATCATTGTTGTAGTTGTTCAGTTGTTGTTCAGTTGTTGGCATTTATCAGTCCCAAGCTTAAAGATGAACTTTTTCAGAAGGATAAGAACAACAAGAAAGACAGTTTCAGGATATTATTAGATGTTTTTCCTCTCACAGAAAAACAAAAGAAAAACAAAAAAACAGCTTATTATTTTTCTTTAATCTCAACATATATTTTTCTAAATAAAAAACTTAAAGTAAATTGATAAGCTCAGTGAATGTTATTATATGATACATGATTAAAAACCTCCAAAGGATTAATTTTTATCTAGTTTTGGAACCTTCTGATCCAAATCTAACATCTTTGATAATTTGAAGTTCATTTAACATTGTTTTTCTTTCAGCTCTCTCATAGTCTTGAACCCTTTAACATTACCAGCTAACCCCTAGGTATGCTTGATTGGAGGGGCATGACAAAGATAACTCAGAGCTATAGCAGATAAACCAGAAAGATTTTAGATAACATATCGTTTTGTCTTTAAGTTAATCCCCAATGGTGTAATGATGGATTACAGTGAACCTGCCACATCGTAGTGAATTGTCCAAGGTTCAGGGGAATTAAAGTGTTTTTATCTTTTTAGTGCAATTTGTAATTAACAGTCTCTTTCAATTCGATTTTTTGTAATTTTAACACCATCATTGAGCCTTAAAACGACCTCAAGTGAACAAGAACACATGATATAATATATGAAGTCAATATTTATTTAACAAAAATCAAGCCAAAATGCAGAAGCAGTGTATGAAAGATTAATTAGATTCTAGATTCACCTTTAGGAGCAATAACATATTAATGTTTTTCTGTATGACTTTCAGTCATGCAGCCTCTCACATCATTGTGGTGGAATTTTAACCCACTCTTTTTTTTAGTGTTGCTTAAGTTCAGTTCACTTTCCTGTTTGTCATAGCATTTGGATTAAGCTGGAGGCTGGACTTTGGACCATTGCAACACGTTCATTCTGTTGTTTTTCAGTCATTCTGTTGTAAATTTCATGGTGTGCTTGAGGTCATTGCCCTGTTGCATGACCCAATTTTGACAAAGTTTAAGCTGACTGGGAAGACCACCAACTGTCATGAATGTTTTCCACTTGTGAAACATCCTTGTGGACAATTAGAATGATAGATTACACTATGAGATAAGTATATATATATATATATATATATACTTATCTCATGTGACTGTAACATCTGGACATGTGTGCGTTACTCATGTTCTTTCCACTCTGCAATAACATGACTGAACATTATTTTGTGGTCATGTGTTACAGTGGTTAACCCTAAATTGATGTTAAAAGCTAACTCTAAGAATGATAATAAAAGAAAGTTTTGGGTATCCCTTTAAAATTCCAAGATACAGAAGCTGGTTTCAATATTTAGTCATATGAAACATCCTAGAAATACTTTCACTTTATTTAAAATCAGATATAACAGTCTTAATACAGAGGTGGCATTAGTAGTAAAAAAAAAACAAAAAAAAAACCTGCTGTTACATAAATATTAATCATTTTTACTGTGAGTGAAATTAGGAGACCGGTTCATGTGTGACCTCTGATTTTATAGTTGATTTATGGCTCACAATTGATTCCTCAAATGGTTTGACATCTTGTTTCATACAGAATCAGATTTGAAACTGACAAATGAATTGTTAGTCCATGGAGAGATTTTATTTTCCTTTATTTGTAGTTCCCTTTTTGTGGCACAGTTGCAGACACGATAACCTCCATGTCTGTGTGGGTTATCTCTGGGTAGTCTGGCTTCCTCCCATAGTCCTAAGACAGGCATGAGGTTAGGATATTTTATTATCTAAATTGCCCATAGGTATGAATGTGACTAGTTGTCTGTCCTGCATTTTAGCCTTGTGACAGATTGGGCACCTGTTCAGAGTATAGCCCACCTGTCACCCTAAGACAGCTGGAATAGGCTTTAGCCCCCTTGGCGACTGTGAATTGGATAAGCAGAAAAAAATTGAATTGATAGATGGTTCCCCTTCAGGTGAAAGTAGGATACTTCCCTTCTATGAAACTGCAAGTATTCAAAAATAATAGATTTCTTGAAATTAGCAGGAAAAAAAAATGATAGAACCAATCTAGATCAGTCCTTGTAACCCATTTTTATCAACATGATAAACTGTTCCACTTCCATCTCCTGTGATCCGCAGCAAGTGTCTCTTTCCTAATAGGATAACTGAACAATGTATATTTGTATTTTACAAAAGAGATAAAAGCTTTGTTTAAAAAGAAAATCACATCTCTATAGAAAAATTATTCCAACTTTTCTACATTTTATTCCATAAATGCCTGAAAGTTGTGCTGTCTGCAAGGATAGGGAGGGCTTAAACAGCACTTTACTCTCAAGCTGTGTCCTGCTGACAAATAAAAGTTCCTCCAGGTTCTAAATTGAAGGTGGAGGATGCAGGGATAGTGAAACCACATGACAAATAGCTCTGTGTATTTCAGAAGCACAGTCTGACATCTGAGTGTTAAGCCAGGGAGTAGATGGTATTTATTGGTGAGTGCAGCTCCAGACTTCCACCAAAGTCCAACTCCCTGACGTCTCTCCTGGTTCCTGTGTACTGGCCAATGAATGAGCCATCTTCATTGAATGGTATCTCGCCCCCTTCTCCATATTCCACCAGACTGTCATCGCTGTCTGATCGCTTCATCATTGCCTCAATAGATGGCTGACCTCTTTGAAGCCCTCGTTCCTCTTCTCTACAAAAAACAATGAAGGAATGAATGATTAAAAAATAAATAAAAACTCAAGATATTATGGAAAAGATAAAAAAAATAAAATGATTCAATCTTATTATAAAGTAGTTGTAAAGAATTTGCAGTACTAAATGATCATACCTGCGAGGGTAGGGGAGAGTGGACACACGTGCTATTCTAAAATATGAAAAGAATTCAGTGTGTCAGAGGACTGACTACATATTGCAAGTACAAATACAGTTTTTGCATCTTTCCAGGATCGCACAGGTATAATATCAAAGTGTCAATATTTGTTTTTTTTCATACCTTTCAAGGGATCTTTGAAAAAGAAAAGGATTGAGGTTTTGGAGGGGAAGGGTTTAGATAGAAAAGGCAGAGTAAAAAAAAGAAAAACACAGATTAATGTAATTATGATCAAAGAGTTATTATAAATCAAATGAAAATAAGATTTGAACCTGTGCATTGTGATGCTAAAATCTAATCAAAATTAAAGATACCCAATGGAGTTTTAAATCAACATTAAAGTTATAAAGAAATAATGGTATATAAGTATTTAGTTCCCTGCTGTTCCACTGATCACATACATGCAGAAGGAGGGTGCAATGTGCTAGCAAAATAAAATGTTAAGTGTAACGTGTTTATGATGAAGGACACGGGAACAGCAGTTCCACTGGGCAGCTTTAATTTATGAAACCAAGAGAAAAATGCACAGGAGCAAATGGATAATAGGTAAACAAATAGGCTGTTTTTATCTAATTTTTCAGGGTTTCAAAGTTTTAATTTTAGTTATAGTTTTCAACAGTGATAGTGTGGTGCAGTGTTACAGTATAACAATAACAAACATAATACACATCTTCCTTGTCGAGTATTATTACTGTGCAATTACAAAATAAATTACATGACTTAAGAAACATTGCAAACATTGAATACTTTGTAAAGCAGTTTGGTAAGATAATATTATTTACTGATTTGAGGTGTTGTTAAATCACAACTTCCCTCAGGGAGAAGCAGTAAAAGTTTTTGTTAGTGTCTGAATTTAAAAATTCATTCATTTTCCAGAGAAGGTAAAACTTACCGATAATCAAATGATCCCTCCTGATCTTTGTCATCCACCGGCTCCAGTGAAATGTCCTTTTTATCCCGTACTGAAATAGTACCAATGAGCTTTATTAACACCATGGAGCCTGAATATGACTATAACTAACAATTTTTTTGATAGTTTGTATTTCTTTTTAAAAAATAAATTAATTGTTTGTTTTATACTGTATTAAAATTTGGTAAAACATCCCAAATGACAACACCCAAGATGTTTTAAAATTCTATTCAACCAACACTACAAAATGTAAGGCCTTAAAATTTTTCTACAGCTACAGTTAGGCATCACCACCCTACCTGGGTATTTTCCTCCTCTGCTCCGCTTGATGAAACAGACGATGAGAAGGATTAGCACGATGAGAGCCACAGCGCACATTATCCCAATGAACCAGCCCTGAGTGGTGATATCCACCTGATCCTGAGCATAAACTGAGACATGCAAGGGCACACATCATTAAGTAAACCAACGTGAACATAGTCATTTAGTGTTTATTTTATTTGTCTGAGTAGGTGGCTCTAAAGTGTTGTGATTTACACATTTGCTGGGCATGTGCTGAGCTACTTGCTGTGACCCCTTGTGACAATGGAGCAGCTTTAAGCAGTTTTAGCTGAAGAAAGGACTTAATTACTCTCTGTAGTGTAGTGGGGTGATTCCTCTGTATGCCATTCGCCTATCCCTAGGCGAGTTCGTGCTGCCACAGAAAATCTGTATCGAGTGTATCGGTCATATCGGCGGATTGAGAAGCTTGTCACATTAGGAGGAAGCTCTTCAACTCGCAGCTCCTCTCCCCTGGTGGCGTTCACTGTGGAGAGAGTGGGCATTTCCTTTTATAGGGAGAACTGTTGATACTGGTGCTGAGCTATTAACTACCTCCCCTACTCAGAGAGTGACTATGCAAGTGTTCATAAGAACGTGCTTTAGTCATATTCTGATCTTTGAGTGCTTATTTAAGAGCACTGTTGAGTTACATAGATGAGGACCTTTGCCAGCTTTACTAGAATAATCAGATTCCTGTTCTTTCAGAGTGTTTTCAGCTCATACCTGTCTGGTACTTGAGGGAATACCCAGTAATTATGCCATTGGGCTCTGCTGGCAGGCCCCAGTCAACATAAATACTGTCCAGATGTCGCTGTTGGATCCTGAAGGATCTAGGAGCAGATGGTACTACAGGAGAGAACACAGGAGCAGATGATAAACATACCAGGGGGAGGAAAAACACATTAATTTGTGAATTGCTTGTGATTGATAGAGGCTAATCTCTAAAATTATTGTTTTGTTGACAAAGTGGTAACACTTTTACCTCCTTCAGGTGTTGAGAAATGTATGTTATTACTTTGCGGCCCTTCGTATCGACTGTTTGCCACAACTATGTACATTTTGTAGTTGCTGTAGGGAATAAGCTCATCAAGGACCCCAGAGGGGTCTGGGCCATTGATAGGAAATTCTTTGGACTTCATCCCTCTGTCAACCCAATGCCACCTCAGCTGGCTGCTGTCCCTCCAGTAGTAGACCTGAGAGACGAGAGACAACACACATTTTAGATCTTCTGCTCTCCAAACAAGCAATCGAGTATTCACGTTACATAGCAACATGAAACTCAGTAATCTTTCTACTGTATGATTTTATCAACCTAAGCTTGATTTCCTCTTAAGATGGCAAAAGCAGATAAAACAATGACAGACCAATTAAGCCAGAGTTTCTTTTACATGAGGGTAAAGTTTTTTTTTTCCTTGAAATTAGCCGAAAAGATAGATAAGTTCATACATAAAAAATTATATTATTACTCAGAATTTCAGTAATATCTAATGTATAGTGTAACTGATTAATTACTGGATGGTCAGGCCCACTATTTAATATATAATGTGGTTGCTGCAAGCTGCTCTCCCGGTGTACTGATAATACAGTGAAAAATGAAATTTTAGAAATCAAATGATAAAGCAACAGCTCAAAATGTAATTTAACTGAATGGCAATTATGGAAAATGCAGAATGGGTTAACTGGGTTAGCTTAAAAACTGTTTTGCATTTGATTCTTTTAGATGTATAGTATATAACTTTTCACACAGAGCACACTCTGAGACTTCTTTCTCAGCTGGTATTAATGTTTTAGACACCATTATATCAAATGAAACCTGGCATATTTTAGTCTTTTGATTGCGTTCATCACCAGCTGCATTTCATTAAATTAAAATGATTAAATGCCCTTAGTTTTGAATGTCAATAAATAAAAATGTAGTGCAAATTTACTGTCCATTATCAAATGCTGAATTCACCTTGTATTCTTTCAGTTCTCCCATAATTGTGTCACTTGTCACTGGATCCCAGTGTAGAGTCACCTGAGTGCTCTCGATGTCGGACACTCTCAGGTTCAGGGGTGCTGTTGTTGGGCCTTGGGGAAAACAGAGATGGCACTGAATTTCGTCTTTGCTATCAGTGAGCATAAAACATGTAATGACAAAAACCGTTTTCCTCCGAAATTATTCATGATTCCCTGCTTTTGTCTCACCAGGAATACTTGGATGTAAACTGACCTCATTATTTGAGATTCTGCCCATGTTAATACTGAACACCCACCATTATTGTAAATTGAATATCAGCTGACAGCCAGTCTGACAAAAAACTAAATGCAAAAAATTAATCAGGGGAACAGTCTGGCTTTAGATGGTGCTTTATACCAAATTAAAGAAAGTCTTTCTATAGAACAGTTTGTAATCTCTAATGTAGTGAAGCAGAGAATCTACCGAAGTACAATGAAGTTCACCAACATGTATTGATTTCCTTCCAAAATTCCTACTCCTTACTATGTTATGATAAAAGAAATGTAGGTACGTACGGCCTTCACCAGAATAACCAATGACAACAGAAGACTCTGGTCCCAGCCCAAAGTCATTCACTGCCTGGACTTTGATCTCATAAGGAGTAAAGGTATCCGCATCATAGATGTAATATTTTAGCCACTTAGTGGTTGCATTCTTCCACTCCTCTCGAGAATCTCTCCTTCTCCACCAGACCAGATACTTTAGATGGGGTCCATTCCACTCTCTGTAGGTTAGAGGCTAAAAGCATGTTTTTATAAAATTAGAAAGCTTTATTGTGCGAAGATATGTAAAGATATTAGTGATAAATAAAAGGATTATGTAAATTCTGATTACCTCCCAGCTGATTTCCATGTTATTTCTCCATGTACCAACGCCTTTTAAATTCTTTGGGATTATATCTGGAGCTGTGCAAAAAAAATGAACACAATTTTGAAAAACTGTTTGTGATTCAGAGAGATACATTTACTACAGTTGAAACATAAGCTAGCTAGCTAATGGAACCTAGCTTAGCATAAAGATCAGAAGTTGGGAGTTGGGAGGTGCCTGGTTTTGCAAAACATCTAAAAGCTTATTTCTGGGACTTTTAGTGATTAACTTATTACTTGTCATTTATTTACTCAAAAGGAAAAATAACTGCAAAAGTAACAAATCTTTTTTTATCACTCGAGAACAAGACCCTGAGATACATAAACTCCTCCACTTGGGGCAGGAACTCGTCCCTGACCCGGAGTGGGCACTCCACCCTTTTCCGGCTGAGGACCATGGCCTCAGATTTGGAGGTGCTGCGAACCGTTCCAAGGCAAGCTGGAGGCCATCACCCGATGAAGCCAACAGAACCACATCATCTGCAAAAAGCAGAGAGGAGATCCTGAGGCCACCCAAGTGAAAGCCTTCCGCCACTTTGCTACACCTAGAAAATCTGTCGATAAAAATTATGAACAGAATTGGTGACAAATGGCAGGCCTGGCGAACCCTTCACCCACTAGGAACGAGTCTGAATATTGCCGGCTATGCGGACCAAGCTCTTGCAATGGTTGTATAAGGATTGAATGGCCCGTAGCAATGGGCCAGACACCCCATACTCCTGGAGCAAGCCCGTGGGACACGGTTGAATGCCTTCTCCAAGTCCACAAAACACATGTAGACTGGTTGAGTCCCACAGGCTAACCAAGCCCGATAGGACTCCTTCTTCAGCTTGGTGGCTCCCCTCACCTCTGGGGTCCACCGTTTGGTTCGGGGATTACCACCACAACAGGCACCAAGTACCTTGACGCCGTGGATCAGTGCAGCGGCTTCGGCAATGGAGGTGCTGAACATGGTCCATTCGGACTCAATGTCCTCAGTCTCCGTCGGAATGCTGTTGAAGCTCTGCCGGAGGTGTGAATTGAAGATCTCGTGGACTGGGGCCTCTGCTAGACGTTCCCAGCACACCCTCACTGTATGTTTAGGCACGCCAGGTCTGTCCAGCGTCCTCCCTCGCCACCTGATCCAACTCACCACCAGGTGGTGATCAGTTGACAGCTCAGCCCCTCCCTTTACCCGAGTGTCCAAAACACATGTCCTCAGGTCTGGCGATACGATTACAAAATCGATCATCGACCTGTGGCCTAGAGTGTCCTGGTGCCACGTGCACTGATGGACACTCTTATGTTCGAACATGGTGTTCATTATGGCCAAACTGTGGTTTGCATAGAAGTCCAATAACAAAACACCGCTCGGGTTCAGATCCAGGAGGCTGTTCCTCCCAATCACGCCCTTCCAAGTCTCACTGTCATTGCCCACGTGAGCATTGAAGTCTCCCAGTAGGACAACGGAGTCCCCAGGAGGAGCACCCTCCAGTGCCACACCCAGGGACTCCAAGAAGGCTGGGTACTCTGAACTGCTGCTCGGCGCATAAGTGCCGACGGCGGTCAAGACCCATTCCCTGACCCGAAGGCGAAGGGAACGAACCCTCTCATCCACTGGGGAGAAACCCCAATATACCAAGCCCAAGGGATACCACGATACCCACCCCAGCCCGCCGCCTCTCACCAGGGGCAACTCCAGACTGAGACAGAGTCCAGCCCCTCTCCAGGAGGCTGGTTCCAGAGCCCAGACCATGCGTTGAGGTGAGGTCACACACTATCTCAGGCTCCTTCCCCACCAGAGAGGTGACATTCCATGTCCCAATTGCCAGTCTTGGTAGCCAGGACCTCTGCTCTGCACCCGACTCCTACGGTGGCTCCTGCGGGTGGTGGGCCTGCAGGAAGATGGGCCCATGTCCCTTTTTTGGGCTGTGCCTGGCCGGGCCTTAGTCCATGGGGCCCGGCCAGGCCAGATGCTTGCCCTCGGGCACCCTCCCCGGGCCTGGCTAAAGGGCGGGGCCCCTGTGACCCTATCCCGGGCAGGGTGAACTGTTCCCTCGATGGTCTTTTCATAGGGATCTTCTGAATTGCTTTTTGTCTGGTCCCTCACCCAGGACCAATTTGCCATGGGAGACCCTACTAGGGGGCAAAAGCCCCCAGACAACATAGCCCCTGGGATCCCTGGGACACAAACCCCTCCACCACGATAAGGTAGCGATTTGTGGAGTAATGATTCAAATCTGTAAAACATGGTGGAGACTCTGTCATGGTTTGGTCCTGCATTTCAGTCAGCAGTGTTGGAGATCTTGTCATGATTGATGGAATTATGATAGCATAAATGTAATGACAGATGAGCTACCGTATAATCTGGAAAGCATTTGATTGGCAATGGCTTCATTATTCAGCAACGCCAATGATCTCAAACACACAACCAGTGCACTAAAAGCATACCTGGATAGTAAAACACACAATGGAACACTTCAACCATGGATTGGCCTCCCCAGAGCCTGGAAAGCTACATTATTGAAGCTTGTAGGGATCTTCTTGACAGAAAAATAAAAAACTGCAAATATCCAAAAAGAGAACTATTCTAGAAGATTTCCTATAGAAATTACATTAAAGCTTGCCTAAGAGAGTTCAGGCTTTGTTAAATAATAAAGGTGGTCATACCAAATACTAACTTTGAAGCTCATTAGACTTATAAAAACTTTGTTTTTGCCTCATATACTGTATTTCCACACATTTACAATTTTCCTAGCAAAATATAAAGAAATAAGAGGTACTTCAAAACTTTTGCACAACATTGTCATATATCCCAGTCTTTACTCTGAGTATTTATTGTCCCAAACAAAAACATATGACACCCACGTGCACCGCTGGTCTGAAAACGCTTAGATGGACGACTAGGGCGACTAGCTCCAATTTCGTTAATAGCGATGACTCTGAACTCATAGTACGTAAAAGGTATGAGATGCAAAATGACAGAGTTGAGGTTCCCTGGGTACGTTGAAAGATTTCTCCACTTTCCAGGCAACCAATCATCGTCGTCATACTGCACTAAGAACTCTGCGAGAGAACAAAGAATGCAAAAACAACCAAAATGCTAGTCAATACAGCAAAAGAGTCCTCAAAAATGGTAATAATGTTTAAAAAAGTGTTTACTTTTGTAATTTTTTGAGTTTTCATCTTTTACCTGTTATGGGGCTGTGGTTGCTATCTCCAGGAACCCAGCTCAGTCTTACAGTACGTTCATATGGATCAGATAACTCCAAGTTAGTGGGAGGATTTGGACGGTCTATAAATAAATTAAATACAGAAATAATTAAAAAGACATTTCAGCATGTCATATGGTTGATAAAATATCTTTGGTTTCAGTGTTTCATACCCATCACCATTAGGTGTGCTGAGGCAGATTTCTGTTCAAGCTCACTCTTGATGACACATGTATAATTTCCCTCATCGCCTGTGTTTACATTAGTAATCACTAGATTTGATTCATCCATTGAGATTCTGAGAAATTGAATAAAATTGGTGAGACCTAGAAGCTCATTTGATTACACTGAAACTAATAATATGAACTTAGTTGCACAAACGGGCCTCATATATGTACTCATATATGCATAAATGTACTTTAATTAACAGTAAATAATACACAATAATCCTACCTCCAACCAAGAGTGAGATGCTTTTTGTTTTTCAGCCAAGTGGTTGTGATAGGAGTCGTGACATCTGCTGTTACACCACACTCCAGGCGGACATCACTTGCACGCATGACTTTCATACTCTGTGGTCTTGTGACAATTAATATGGGTTCTGCAAACAAAATAAATACAATAATGTACAATGAAAAAAAAATTATGTCAAATTTTATTGCCAATTCAATTATTTTTTATTTTAATGACTCTTCACCTTTGACCTCTACTCTGACTTGATCCTCATCTCTCCCTGCAATGTTGCTGACTACACACACGTAAGTTCCTTGGTCTTCTATCTTGATATGTTTAATCTCCAGAGTCCCATTGCTGTGGGTTTTAAAACGATTTCCTTCAAGATTTCCTTGCCCATATTTGGACCTGTGTAAGAAGAAGCATGGACATATGTTAAGACACACACTTACTGTGAGTGGATTTATAAATCATAACAGTGTCACACGCCATCTTACCATCTCAACTCAGGCACTGGAGAACCAAAGTACTGGCAATCTAAAAAGGTACGACTACCCTCAGTCACTTTGATGAATTCATTTCTTGCCCCAAGGATTCGTGGCGTTGCATCTATGGGAAAAGGGAGCAACTGCAGCATCATCAGTGATTATTTGACTTCAATATGCACCCAGTATACTCTCCCATGATATAAAAAAAAGCAAATTTGGCCTAAACAATGCATCATGGCAAGGACACGAGCGGTAGAAAAACGTGTTATTTCTACCTCAGATAGGGAATGACCGGTCCAAAATGTGATTATTTAATTAAACCCTCATCTGTAAGAACTGAACTACATAATTTGTTAAGTATTTTGCCATTGTTGATAGATGTGCATGGTTGATTTTATTACTCTTTATTATCCTAAGCCTATACTGAACTGCAAATCTTTAAACCTGATACACATAAAAACTCAATGTTACGTCAAAACAATCGGCAGCGAAATTAAAGGATTATTATTTAAATGTAATATTTACTATATAAAATATGGAACTGTGACTGCCTATTGTGCTTAATAAATTGACCTATTACATTTTCAAATGTAGTTTTGAGTAAAGAAAGTTAAAAAAAAAAATGCTAACAAACAGTTTCACTCTCCTAAAGAGTAACTTTTCAAATGAGTAATTATAAATCGGTGTAAAGCAGGGGTCTCAAACTTAAATGAGCTGTGGGCCACTGCTGGCACTGTCATCTCATTGGAGGGCCACTTTAGTGTTCAAGTAGCACAGAAAAAAAACAAGAAAACACCCATAAATATTTGCAAAAATCTAGCATTTTGTTTGTTTTTTAAAATATTGTATAACTAGACAAAATTGCAAACGTGAACTCATTTTTTTTTCTCACTCTTAATCAAATGAAGCCTTTTATTGAACTATCAAATTAACACACTGGTACTGGTCTTTCTGGCCAGATATGTAGCAGCACTTCTGCTATAATTTTGTTCATATTTAACAAAATAAAAATGCAGACATAAGTGTACACATTCGTTTTCTTTAAAAATAACTCTGTTTTAATTAATGTTATGAATGACAGTGGCTGGTAACTTACGTAGCACATTAATAAATGCATTGGCCAGTAAGTAGCCGTACTGATTTGAAGCATTGCATTGGTAGACAGCAGTGTTTTCAGTTGTTACACTGCGGAAGATTAGCGTTTCTCCTGAAACCTGTCTGTTAGGCAGTGGTGTAGCAGCTGAAAAAAACCCCACCAAAAAGGAAAAATAAAAGTTAGGCACAATATTTTTTTATTCATTTTTATGCCTTTTAGACAAGATCTCCTAAAACATACTTTCAATCGGTTCTCCGTTAATGAACCAGCTGATTGTGGGACGAGGAGCCCCATCAGCGCGACACACCAACCGTCCATTTTCCTCTGGTGCCAAAATCAGGTTGGTGGGTTTTTCCAACCAGAAAGGAGTCGCTGTCAAACAGAAAATATGTTATTAGTTTGGATTATAATGATCAGTCCAAACATAAAATACTCTATGTTTCTGAAGAACTCACCTTTGACCCTGACAGTTATTGTGTGCTCAGCGTAGCCTAACCTATTTTTAGCAGTGCAGGTGTATTCACCTGCATCTTCAAAAGATGCTTTTGGGATTTGAATCATTTTGTTGAAGTTCTTCACTTTCATGCGAGATGCCACTTGCAAGTCCTCTCCATCCTTGGCCCAGGTAATGTGAGGAGTTGGCCTTAATAATCACAAACAAGGCTTTACACAGGATAACTTTCATGAATTCAAGGTGAAAATACTTACACTAAACACAAAATAAACTGTTGTATAATCATTTGTAGCATAAACTTGAAATTAGAAATTTTTTTGTGTGTGATCCTTATTGAAGACTCACATTCCTGCAGCAATGCACTCCAGGAGCAGCTCCTCCCCCTGCAGGATCAATATTGAGCTTGATGAGCCTGTAGGAGACAGCCAGGTGGGAGCAGCCTCAACCACTGCATGAGCTTTGGAGAAAAATAACCAGAAAATCCCCGTCAAATACCTCAAACATTGAGTCATCACACTCCTCATCCAAAACAGCAAGTATAAAAGATTAATAATTAACATTTCAGCCTTGTGGCACACGGGCACCTACTCAACCAGTGAGCTAAACTAGCTCCAAAAGGAATAGGATTTTAATTTGTCATGTGCTGGTAGTGATTATATTTAGTGGCATCTTCCTGTGTTTCAAACAACATATGCTAACATCCCAACTTGTTATTTGATTAATTTTTGTCTACTGCATTTATTAATGTGCTGTGCCTGTACTCTATGTTTGGTCAACGTCTGAAATGTACCTGTGCTATTTGCATGTTATGTGTAAAGGGCTGGGTGGGTGCCTATAAAGTGGCTTCAAACAGTGACAAATGGTAGAAAGGTGATCTGGAATAAGAGCAAAATGACAAGACACGGGGCAAAATAGTATTGTGGGAGACCTCACCCCCTCCATGGGCTGTATTACTAACAGACAGAAGAAGTGGCTGACATCCTACCAGGCAGTCTAAAGGACAGCACAGAGACTCTGCCTAAGCACCAGATCCATACAGGATCCAGTTTGCAGATAGTGCAAAAATGCTATGTCCAGCACATAGTAGCAGGCTGTACGATGCAAACTTGGACAGCATACAGTATCATGTGATCATGATTATGTAGTTGAATATCTCCAGTCCTGATGGGAGACACCTCTAAAGATGGTTAAGAAAAACAGGGGTAAGGTTCTACAGAAGTTCAGCTTCCAGACAGTTTCTGGCAAACCAGTCTGAAATACTAGTGGTTGACTAGAACCCAAAGATAGCAGCTCTGATAGATAAACTAATACCAGCCAACAGCCACATTAAAGGATTAGCACAATGGAACTAAGAAGTACCAAGAGCTGAGATATTAAAAGGAGCAGATGTGGAGGATAAAGTCCAGAAGGGTCCCAGTAGTAGACCCATGTAATAGGACTATTAGGTGCTGTGAAAGGGAAACTGGAAGAGTGGTTCCAGCTGATTTCAGGATTAGATATTGTGCAGAACCTCCAAACTGAAAAGCCTTGAGGATGTAGGACATTTAGAAATAATTATGAACACAGTTATACTCACTCGTAAGCACCTTCACAACTACAGGCATCTTCTGCTGGATGACATTTTTGTACGGGAATCGGGCATTACAGCAGTAATCAGCAACAGAGTCATTGAACAACACATTAGAGAAATATAGATCTCCATTGACTCCCATGGAAACCCTGCGGTCCTGCCGCACAGGCTGCATGGTGGGGAAAGCTGTCTGAATGGGCCAGTTGAAAGGTCTCGCATATGAACCTGAAATGAAGGACAGAGTTAAAAATTCCTTATTCACATTGCTTTAGAAGTGTAATGCCAATGGTGGCCCTGAAAAGTAAAATGCACCGCAACCCAAGGAAATGCCATCAAATGGACAAATGCATCAAAAGTGCACAAAATACAACAGAAGTAGAAAAAAAGTCACGGTGGAAGCCTCAATACAACACAACAGATGTAGAAAAACACCACAAAAGCTCATAAAACAATAGAAGTTATTTAGGTGAGACAGTAGCCTGATGGTGTCATGGTACTGAGACCCAGTGGTGTGTGTATTTTAGTTTTATTTCGTGGATTATTGTATTTTTCCCTGTCTCCCGTTTTATTCTGAAAGAGTCTGCGGTGTTTTTGTGACTGTGTTTAGCTTCATGTCCCTGTGAGTCATTATGCTTAATTTCAGTCAGCTGTTTCCCCATGTGTTCTCACTTCCCCTGATCAGCTCCTGTGTATTTAAGTCTTCTGTTTTCTGTGTTTCATTGTCAGGTTGTCTGTTATTCTCTCCACAGTTTTCATAGTCTGTCATATTGTTCACAGTTTTTTCATAGTGTTCTTAGTTTTTTTTTCTAATAGTTTCTTGTTTGCTGCTGTTTTTTCAGCCAAAATAAAGGCTCGTTTTGTGTTAGAACCTGCAATTCCTCTGTCAGCTTCTGCTTTTGGGTCCTGTTTCTAAAACACCGGCACACCCCACCGTGACAGATGGAACTGGTTACAAATAATAGCAAGCATGTATTTACAGTATTATATGAATCATGCGATTAGAACACACAAAACTTTGCATCTTCATTTCCCTCACAACATAGATCAATCCTGCAGTTCTTCTCAGTGCATATCAGTGCAATCTGAAGCTGTTACATCATGCTATTATCTCCCTCTATTCTATTTTCATTATGTTTTATTCCACTTTTGTTGTGTTTTAAGTGCTTTTGTAGCATTATTCTTTTTGCTGATGTTTTCTTAGGTTGCAGTGCATTTGACCTCTTAGGGCCAACATAGATACCACATGATCAAAATCTTCCTGTTTTTGCTCATTTGACCCTAGACTTGATCTAGCATTTCATTTGGTATCAGACACTTACAACTGGACATCCAGTATGTTTCAGGTTTAAGTGGGCCAGGTGGAGGGTCACAGGACAGGACAAGTGGTAAGCCAGCACTCACCACCACAGGCTCCACAATCTCTCTTGGCCACACAGGGGGTCCTGCACAAATAGAATCAAACTCCTCTCAGCTGCAAAGTTTGCTTGACACTGCTCATTAAATTCTGGCTGATGCTGGATGTTTTGGCCCCATGCCAATTACTGGTATACTTGCTAATATTTAATATACATATTGTTGTTTTGGGTCTTGGATCTTCTGGTTTTCTGTGTTTCTAGTTGTATTTTAAGTTTAAATTTAATTTAATAAATGGAAAAGACCATAGCAAATTATTCTTTAAACAATGAAAGCCTTTTGGGATGGAAACAGTTTGTTGTCATTTATTTATACATCCCAGATATTTTTAACCAATACACTGAAGTCATTGTATATCTTTTTCACTGCTAGATTCAGACAAACTTACTGTATAATTGTAGTATGATCTTGTGGGAGTATGCAGATCCATACTGGTTGGAGGCAATGCATTGATACTCTGCCTCATACTTTTCTGGATTGTTCCGGGCATAGATATCCAGAGTCCCTGAGCGCCTGCGCATTGACACCTGAGAGTCACGTGCCACATTGAAATACTTCCCATTACGCCTCCATGAGAAACTTCATAAATGAGCAAATGAAAAAAGGCCGGGAAAAAAAAATCAGTGGTTTGCCAATCTAAGTTTAAAAAAAAAATCAGTTCAGTGGATTATTTAGGTCTTACATAGGATGAGGGTTTCCTTTGGCTTCACACTCTATTACCATGGTCCCTTTGGGGTCAACAATGTGCTCTTTCATTGACTGCTTTATGATAGTAGGGGGTTGTCTGACTGCAGGCAGAGAAATAAAGTCAGTTTAAGAAGTAATGTGAAAAAACAATTCATAGACATAAATTTACAACTAGCCAATGGTCTTAAGATATTCGCTTACCTTCGAGAGGGACGTTCAAAGCCCCAACACTCTGCCATAAAAGTAGCAGCAGCGCTGGTTTGACCAGTGTCCCCATCTTTATATTTCATTTAGTCCAGAATTGATTGTGGTCACCTATTTCTCTACTCCTAGTTTGAACGAAAAGTAACACAAGACATCTAGAAGACATTACATCTTGAACAAATTATAAAGTGAAGAAAACATTTTACTCATAGTTCACAATCTAAACTGTACCTAAGCAAATATACTTTCAAATTTTCCTGTGACAAATGATAGCCGTATATTGTAGTTATTATGAGTGGCGCTTGAGGTGCAGTTATGAGATTTTTTAAAAAGTATGGAAATAAGACAAACATAATTTTTGCTACACAGTTTTGTATTTTTCTTGTTTGCGTGAAATACTGCATAATCTGACAGTCAGATAGTACATATCTGAAACATGTGACAATTGAGTCTAAGCATAATAGGGTGGGAATAACTGGTTTACTATAAAACAATGTAGTATTAAAACTCTATTAGCATTAAACTGTTTTCTTTTTAAGGAAAAATCTTGTAGATGTAGTAAGTAAAATATTTCCCATTGAAAACCTAAAAGAAGTGACATAAAATTGCAGTATACGTGATGTGTATTTGTACTTAGAAACACTTGTTTAGAAGCTGCTGCTGTGTTAGATTTACTAACAGAATATTTTCACAACTGCGAGCAAACTACACAAACAACACAATCTGTGGTTATTAAGCTGTCTACAAGTGACTGCCTCCCACATATGTAAATGAATCCTCCGAATGCCTGACAAGAATAAATTGTGGTTAAGTTCATGTTGAAGGTCGAATACAATTAATCTGTCAGTGTGAACAAAAACCAATTCATTCGATGCCTATATTTAAAACTGTTTGCTATTAATATGTAATGAACTGTGGAATGTGTCAGGACTTCGAAACAAAAAAGTTATGCGAACCTACCTCACTTGTGCCAAATCAGGGTTTTCTCCTCCCCATCTCTGTTACTTTCACACAGCAACAATAATCCAATGACTTCAGGAAATTATTCTTGTTCTTGCAGTGTAGAAATTAATACTCCAGCCCTTCAAATATCAGGTCAAGAACCCTAGAGGAGTTCATACACATCAGTAATTGAGTTTCTGTCCGTCACTGCCACTTACACTCTGCCCACCCATCTCATGAATAATGAATGAGCACCACACAACACCTCCACCTCACCCACTTCACTGCTCTGACCAGGCTGTCATAATGCTGAACACTTCATCAACGTGGTCACAAAACTAATTTTGCACAATAAATAAATTGAAGTTCAAAGAATAACTTTTAAAAAATGACTACGGTATATCAAGAGAGGCTTGTCACATGGTTGAGCATATTTTGGCAGCACCTGTATTTTCTTCAGCTGAAAAATGTTTGCGTGATCCGGTGTGAGCAAAATCTGTTTAGTAAAAATGAGGCTGGACCACATGAAAGCAGAGAACAACCCAGATTCTGTACAGTTTGCATTCTTGCTGGTTATGATGACATCAAAATGTGGGCTTTATTGTTGAATGCAGAGAACTGGGAAGCAGAGCATGAAAGCAATATCTGTTTCCAGTGTATGAATACTGCATCTGGCACATCTCGTATCACATGACATCCTGACAAAGGCAATTGAAACAAGACTAATGTTTTGTTTTTGTTTTTTTGTTTTTCAAAATACCAATTATGATTTGATTGACTTTTTGTGAAAGAGAGTTTTCTACACTCAGTCATTCACACTCATTGGAAAGCAGGAAAAGGTCATTACCATTCATCTGAGAAAATCCTACGGGGTAGGCGGAGAGCAGTTTTCTTTTCTAGAAGGTGCCAAAGATGCAGGAGAAGCTGTATTTGTGTTAGACAAAAGCCATCTCACGGCTGTTGACAGTGTCCTGACCTGTGTAGGCTTTCAGGCATTCACATGCTGCATGTACAGACCAGCACCGACTGGATAGAACAATAGCTCGGTGTTGAGGTGGGGTAATATGAGGTGGCACTGCAACCTAAGGATTAAAATAAAAGTATAGTCAAAATTTGTATTTCCAAATCTTTAAAACTAAATATTATGATTAAGTAGTGCTTTATCATGGTAATAGATTTCTTTTCTTTCTTTTTTTTACTGAATAAAAAGAATTCAGAGAAGAGAGAATATCAGTGCATCTACAATGGAAACCATTACAATCCTCCATTAACATCAGAAACACATCTTGACTTGGCTCACATAGGACACAAAAGCACAAGGGGTGTGTTAAGCCCTTTGGCTCTCAGAATAAGCATTTTCCCCCCATAGATTGGACTGAAGCAGGCCTGACAGTGAGCCGTGATCAGTGCCATGCACCAGATTGCATGGCACTGAGGCAGACGAGGCCAGCTCGGTGACGACAAAAAGGTCTCTATGCTCGTAGGTCCCCTTTGGCACGAGTGCCCAGGGCTCGGGTAAGAGCAGATGGCATGTGAGAGGGAGTGTTCAACCACACAAGATGCTTGTTCAGAGTCAGAGCACCTATCGTTTGCGCTTTGACGTCACTGCATCAGAGAGAGCAGAAGAATAGGATGGAAAGAAACTTCTGTTGAGCAGGACACAGTGCGAAATTACATCATCACCACTGTGCAGCCAAAACAATACTGCCTCACTGAGCTGAATACTCATTTTATAGTTTGATGAGCGCAAACTGTAACAACATTTCTCCCCCAAAAATGTCCATGTGGAAAAAATGCATACACTTTATTACGAAGAAGTGCTCAGTTGAATGAAATACAATATAATATCTGTATTTTTTTATATTTGTATGACTACACATGTTACCATATTTTAAATACATGAGATCTAAATGTTTAACATCTTATGCACACATATTTTAATATTTAAAAGGTATCAGCTACTGTACCTTAGCTGTCATTTTGCACTGAATACAAAGTACATGGGGGTATGCATAGATGTTATAAATTTTACTAATTAAACTACAAATGTCACTTTCATGGGAAGAAGTCAGTGGCCATCTGTACAAAATCTCTGTGTGTCAATTAATCTAGAAAATTGTGGCACATTTCCATAGATATTTCAAAAGATGGACCTGATAGTGGTGTTAGAGGAAAAGCCAAAGGATTACATGAGTCATATGGATTTGTTCCTGGGACATCATGCATGAACACCGAATCCACCTCATGTTATAACATCACCGCTCCAAAAATGATGCTAATGCATATCAGTTCTCTAAATGTCAGGCGCAGGAACTGCACAACATAGTGCTCACTCTCACATAAATCTGCTGATGCATTTGTCGACCAGCCCCACATCTCAGTTCACACTATGACATCATTAAGACTTCCTTGAAAGACAGATGCAAGGAATAACACACTCATTGGCCCAACAAGACACTTGATGCTAATCGAAAGTTTTCTAATGTTCTTTATAACACCACATATACTGTAGTCCTAATTACAGTTGGTAAATGTGTAGTGTCCTACCTTTAAGTCTTTTTTGGTCTTTGGTTGCTTCTTCCACTTCGTGTTCAGCTGAAAGCAGATCCCTACCGTTTCCCGATCTTCTGTCACAGCAACATGTCCACACTGTGCCTTACCTCTCCAGCAACATCTGAGTATAGTACAATTCTTTTATTCCATTATGTTAAAAAAGGTGACAGAGCCTGGCAAGGGAGTCTGATTCGGATGGCTGTCCTTAGCCTGGGTCACACGCTTGGCGAACAGGCCCTGAGAGCTTGTTATAATAAATCCATTGTGAAATCCACACATAAATATAACGTCATCTTCATTGTGATGGGTGGGAAGTTAAAACAGAACTGCTATATCATGCACCAGATTAGGTTTTGGGGGCATCCAGCCAGCATCTATTAAAAATAATTTAAAGCTTTGTAAGAGGTGATATTTTTTCTTTTGTCTGTGCTGATTCTGATTTTGAGATAGATGGTAGATGGGGGGTGGGTCATTGACCTTGTATCTTCACACTGGCTGGCACGAATACACACTCTCTCTTAGACAAAGCGTTTCTGTCTGAAACAAAGTCAGCTTTTTGTGGACACGGGGGCACGGCTTCCAGGCACATGGGGGGGATTTAACCCATTGTAGTCAAGTGATTGGAGGACTTCTTTTTCACTTATAAACTTTTAAAGACTGCAGTAATCTGAAAAATAAAACCCTGAAGAGTGGCATTTAATATGTTTAATGAAACATAGACTCTTAAATAAATATTCTTTGATTTTCAAAGACAGAAAGACCTATAGTGAATTATATTTATACATTAGGCATTTTTTAAAAAGTGCATCAAAGTGCTTGTGAGTATTTGTTCTGTCTAGGTCATAAAGTCAAAAGAAAATATATCAAAAGATCAGACAAAAACACACAAAACCTCTGCACATTTGAACTGCTTAGCAAAGCTCAGATGATGAGCTTTTGGTTGCCTCACATAAACTCAAAATCATGACATATACCACAAGCCAAAAAACGAAATTTTGTCAAACAGCGTTTATATCATGGATGTTGCCTTTAAAGTGTTTCTGTTATGTGTGCTTCTATGCATATGATATACATCTCTTTGTAGACATCTTTTACCTCACCTACTCACATCAATCTCTGTTTCATCTCCCAGGCCCTCTCACTGAACCAGTCCTTAGTTCTCCCAATAACTGAGCGTTCTGCTGAAAGCACTAAACAAAGTCTGGCCAGTTTTGGCTGGTTTCTCTCCAGATAGTTCTGTGTGTCTCTCTGCAGCTGGTCCAAGGCCTGCGGCCGGTTCTCGTCAAGCGACACATCAGAGCTCAGCATGGGGTTGAAGCGGAAGTAGACATCTGGGGCCAGCAGGTCATCTAAAAGGGTGTGAACCCCTTCAGTGTCAGTGGCACTGCAGATCAGATTGCTGATTTTGGCCCTCAGGCTCGTGGAGGTAGCAGGTCCCTTCTTAGCACTGTCATAGCGACCTGTGCCCAGGGACAGCACACATTGGAAGTCCTGGTTTGGCCACAGCAAATGGCTTTCATGGACAGCCACGGCACAGGGATTGTTCAGGGTGATTCCACCATCCTAATAAGACACAAATTAATCTATAAAGCCGAGAAATTAGCATTTTGTTCAAATCAAACCTGCACAAAAAAGCTTAAGAAAAAAAGCCTGAATGATTAGAACTCCTTTAAAGTAAAACAAATACAATATCAACAGAGGTTCTTATATTTTTGATTTAAGAATTGTAGAAAAGTATTAAGGTGTGAGTGATAGGAAAGGGAGCGACTGGCATTTTTCTTTTTTCCTGAACGGAATGCGATATGTTGAATTGGGTTTTTGTATGGAATTTGTATCCAACCAAAGACTGTATATAAAGGATGACCATAGTGTGTTGACATCACTGAAAAGCTCCTACAATGATGCTTTTATACTGTTTAACACTTGTTTGGAGCTTTTTTGCACATAAGGTCTTGTAAACCAACTCCATTAATGCTATTTCACTTACGTTCTTACACTGAAGATTGGGGCAGGCACACACATCACTGCAATGATGTGTGTGCCTGCATCATTGCAGTGATGATGCAGGCAGTGATGATGCAGGCACACACATCTATTATGTGTGTGCCTGCATCATCACTGCAATTCACCAATTTTTGTGTTCACTTCATTGACTGTCATTAGAAAAAAGATTAATGGCTAACAATTGCCACTAGTTATTGGGGCGTTTTATTTATTAATGTTTTTTTTTTCTTAAAGCAAAAAGTAAGGTTAACCTTCACCCCCTTCATAGTCCTTCAGTTAATCACATGTTTATTTCGCCTATTCACGTTTGAGACAAAACAAGGACATGTCAACATTGGAAACTGTCATTAACAACCTGGTGAATGTCATTTTCTAAGGTAAACTCCTGGAAGTATCCTGGGGCGGCTGACGATGCCCTCACTGCCTGCCACATCTGGTAGCCTGAGCCTCCTGCGTAACGGCTGAGAGAACCTGGTTTGTGGTTATAGTTGCGGAAGACAAAAGCCTTAGGGCTGGTACCCCAGTTTACCACTGTGCTGACTGCAGAAACCTGAGCAGACACCAACAAAACCAATTGTTAAAGCTGTGCAAGCTCCAGTTTTTAAGCTGGAATCAAAACATGGAATCTCACCACAGCGGGGTGCTCCAATACAGCAGCTTGGAAGTCCTTTTATTGGTGTTCTGTGAAAGTGCAATATTCTTACCTTGGGACTGAAGAAATCTCTGGCTGTTTTAATAAGTACTCTATCACCTAGCTTCTCTCTAATGAGAATGAAAACAAGCAGTGTCTTATTAACTTGTTAAAAATTTACTCCTTTGAAGGACTGAAGCACATTTAATGTGTCTCTTATGTGCAAACCGGAGTATCGTCTCCCAGGTCTCAGTGTTATAGTAAGAATGGCTCCAGCCCATCTTCACAGTACCAACCAGCGGGTTTTGCCGGAATACTTCAGAACCAAAACGACGATACATGTCAGCACACTCTTCTATAGAAAAACAGGCCAAACCCAACATGAAGGCTAGGACAGCACCTTCAACAAACAGATGCGGAGACATGCATTTTAAATAGAGTTGTAGATTCAGACAGGCATGCATTAAAATGTTAGTCTCAGTTTACTATATGTCACCTGTGCTCACTCCACAGATGTAGTCAAACAGCTGGTGAATCTTTTTGCCTGTTTGATCCTCCAACAGCTTTAATATCTGAAGAGGCACAACACCTCTGAAAAATGCAAAGAAAAAGGAAAACATAAACCCCCAGAAATATGAACACATTAGCATAGTCATACACAGAACCAGTGGATACCATCAGGCACAGCTTAATCTTTATATACTGTTTGGCTCAAATTAAACCCATTTTGACATTTAACAGCAGTAAAAACACAATAAATGTATTTGATAGATTTTTCCTGGAGTGACCCAAAATACAAAAGAAACGCAAATGAAAAATATTTGTAGTTTGTACAGGTGCTTCAAATCTTTCTGCACAGAGGCTGTACCAGGTCAGATTTCACCTATATGTATTCAGATGGATTTTAGCCTAACCGACATGGATCAAATCAAAGAAAAGGGTGGTTTTGAATGATAGAGTTCAAGGAGGTACTTTACCACTTCACATACAAATAATACCTGTGATCCACAGTCCAAAGATATACATGCTAGGTTAACTGGTAATTCTGAATTGACCATGAATGTTAGCTAGTTATGGTGCTTAATGTGTACTAAACAAAATGCTTCATGAATGTGTAGTTAAAGTTGTTTTGAGTGCTTAATGATCTATTTTTTCTTACATTTACCTCGTTCCACCACCATCAATTGAGAGGACTCTTATGCCACGGCCTTTGACTGGATCCGCATATCCGATAAGAGCCAAAGTTTCTCTTAATGCAGCCTGAAGTTCCTGGTTATGTTCATAGTTCTTCCGTTGTCTCAGCATTGAAACTGCAATTTTCTCCTGGAAACAAAATCATGTTTTAAATTTAATGAGGTTAAAACAACTGTTAAATATAAGTATTTGTGTTTAATTCTCAACAGACCTTCCAGATTAAGGCTTTGCATGAGGGGTAGTGGATAAGGTGTTCATTGAGTGCTTCTACGCAGTCAGTCAGATCTTCTGGAGTAGAAGCCAGTCTCAGGCTATCAGCGAACACACATGTCATTTCATCTGCTTGTTTCCTATTCAAGACAAGCTGACAAACAAGCAGAATCGCATCAAAGTTCATTTTTATGTATTTTAGCCTCTTACTAATGAGAGCAGATTTTTATCTTACTTAGTTCATCGGGGCATTAACTGGGAATTAATGAAAATGTTACTTTAACTCACCTTTTTATTTAATACTGCCTGCGGGGCAGAGATGGCAGTTTTGGAGTTGCTTTTTCGATAAACACCCAGCAGTTCTGGAATGGTACTTGTGGGGTTGCAGAGGTAATCCATAAAAGATACACTCTTCAGTCTCTTGGGGGACTTCTGGGATTCAGTGTCCTCATTCACTCCACTTTGACCCTTGAAATACTGATTGATGTGTTGGGATGTTTGGAAATAGTTCTCACTGATTTTAGTTGTATTACAGCTGCTGTGGAAACTGCCTGCAGCTCCTGGGGTGATAGATTCTTCTTGCTTCAGTTGTAAACTGGCACTGTGAGTTTGTGAGGTGGATTGTGTTAAAAGGTGTTTCTTGTAAGTCCAATCCTTCTCTATGAGAGGTTGTTCTTTCGTATTCTGAGCTTCATCTGTTACTTTGGCACCAAAGTATTTATTAATGTGCCTTGCAAAGTGAAGGTATCCTTCCTCCCAGGTACTGGAGTTACTGTCGGGTTCCAGTGCTGCCTTTACTTGAGACTGTTTACCTCTGATTTGTATTTTTCGTCTCTTCTCCCTTCTGTTTGTCTCTTTGGAAGGAGGCTCCAAATTCTCCTGCTTTTGAACTTTTGCCAAACCCTGAGAGAAAACTGTGTTAATGTGATGAGCAACATAATTGTAACCCTCACCAAATCTTGTCGTGAGAGAGCTGATGTGAAATAACTGCAGTCCAGATGTTTCTTGAGTTGAATGACTTGTTACAGAGTCCCACTGTTTGTCCTTACATTTCAAGGTCTGTGTTGTGTCTTTGCTTTCAGGTATATTTTCCTCTGTGGCTGCTTGCTGACTTTGACTAATCCTCTGTGACCTGCAAGCATACTCTGGAGTAGACATGACAACACTGGCATTTTCAGACAGACTTAAAACTTCTTTTCTTTTGAAATAAATGTTAATGTGTCTGGACAATTGATTAAATGATTGACCAAGACACCCTCCAACCGAACTTAAAAGAGAATTGTTCTGAGCCTCGTCAAAAATCCCAACTGGAGCTTTGGCTTTGAAGACATCCTTATTAGAAGATGAATAAAAACGCAGAGCCTGAGGATGTCTCGCCTTTTCTGTAAGGTCTCTAAGGAGGCTATAAAAGGTAGAGGTTGTATCGCTGTGCTTTACTTTTTTAAAAGTGGCTTTTGTTGCAAACCTGGAAGGTTGAGGAGGTGACAGCTGTAAATATCTATGTAGGTCAAGGCAGAGTGGTGCTTTAGTCAGACCATGGTCCTTTCTGAGAAGGTTCATTGTGTATTTATATTTGCTGTACAATTTCAATGTCCTGTTCACACAACATGAACACAATTTTGTGCTCAGGTAACGACCCATGTTGTCTTGATGAGCGGCACTCAGTCAAAGCCTAAATATCACTCAGCACTGAGTCAGCTTGCAGTGGCATATTCAGCAGGAATCTGGAAAAGTCAACAAAACATTCGAACAACAACTAAGTCAGCGCTACACAATAATGACTCTCTGTGGCTGCAGGAGTGTGTTAAACAAAATGCTTACATGACACATGATATTGACATGTTGAGCTTTAGTAGTCATACATGATCAGAAACTTTGCTAATTATAACAAAAAGAAGTGCAGCTCATGATAGTTTCGTCATTTTTACTTGTAAATCTAATTATGGGAAAGTTATGAGTCAAAGATGAAATATTAATACTAGGGATATTACATAAAATTATAAAATTATTGCATTCATGTTTCCAAAGCTTGTCTGCGCTGATGACATGCACATAAACAACTATAAACAACTCTGACTGATCAAACTACAGGCATCATGTTTTACAATAGCCTGGTGCCTTTCTTTCCTTATGCTGTCTCCACAAGAATGTAACATGAAACCTCCAGAAAAAAGCGTGGCCTATAAATAACTCTCTATGGTGTATCTGTACTTCCATATTTCCATTTTGACAACACACACACACGGCTTTGCCTGTAGTTAATCTCTTATCCTTATCAATAATGGTGGAATGGTTAATACTATGTAAAATGAAGTGCATGCACTAAGGTGGCTATACAAACTAAAAGGCAGACAGCTCGGGTATGCAATAATCAAACATCGACATAGGTTAAAGTCTTCCACTTAAGCAAGGAGAGGTCACGAATGACAGAAAATGTAACCTTGACAGAATATGTGTTGAAAGCGTACACACTAAAGATTTACCTGAAACATAACACCAAGTTTTCCTGTCTTCACAATTCCTCTTCGTGCAGATGCCTGCTCTCTAAAATCCAGAACAGCAGTTTTGACAGACTGTCAGAGTCGCTTTTTTTTTCTGCTGTGTTTTGACACTTGATTCAATCCTTCCTACACGCAGGACTTTAATCTCATTTGCTGGGCTGGGCTGGGGGTGTGTATGGGGGGTGCGAACTGGCTCGGCCAGTGTTCAATAAGACACACAGGCTTAAGGTCATGTGTTGTCACTGCTGACAAGCACAAGTCTAAAATTAGGGATGGGGTGACAGCTTAAGGTCTCAGTGAACTCATGTTGGGTGCTTTAAACATCACCACACATCACACACACCAAACAGACAGAGCTGTGACTCATCACCGCAAACAGCACTCCAATTCTTAGAAGCTGTGCCCAAGCTGGAAGGTACATGTGATGCAAACAACTGGAAGTCTGCAGTTGTAAATGGATATTATGAAGTGTGCTCATGTTTTAAATTAGAGCCTGGATGTATGATTTAAATGGGCCAATGTTATTCAGCAAAAACAATTAAATATGTGCTTATGTGACCTTGTGTCATGTTCCTTCTTTGCAGCTGTGCCCAAGGAGGCAGAAGCAAGTCCCCTACCTAGAGCGTTCGATCCCTGGCGTGTATGTTCGGAGTATCGTCTCCCAGGTCTGTAAGTGTCCGTGTAAGTATCCTTGGGCAAAATACTGAACCCCAAATTTCCCCCCAGTGGAGCACGAGTGTGTTTGTGAATTTTATGCAAATTGCTTAGGCATGTTTGAATGGGTGAATGAAGCTTGTAGCAAGAAAACACTTCGAATGCTCAAATTGATTAAGTAAGAAGAAAAAAGTGCCATACAAGTAAATTCCATTTGACATTTACGCTGTAACCAACAGTGTTTTATAAACACTTTTGTCCTATTGCAGGATCTCATGTAATCTTTCACCAGCACATGCCGTTCTACACAGCTGTTTATTTTTGGTGAAACATAAGAGGGGCTCACGTGTTTCTCTCCAGCACACAGACACTGACGTTACTTTCAAAACAATAGTCATAAAAAAGACATAAATAATCAGAGAGCTTCAGTAGTTTTGATTTTTTTTTGTTAAACAAATCCACTAAATTTGACATTTCTGCTCGTATTTGTTCTTCTGGCTATGATCTGATCAGTTTGCTACAATTCAGCACAATTTCTAAAGAACGATTTCACTCTTGCAGACTTACAATGACATCTAGTGGCAGATTCTTGACAGTTTGGTTCTTAATCGGCTTTGAATGAACCGCTGTGCATGACAGGAAATTGATCATATTCCGCTTCAGTGACTTTGAGTCTTATCTCTGCACCATGTATATGATGAATACATGACAGTCCTTTACAGAACACACAATCCTTTCTGTCAAGAATGATTCTTTCCATGTACAGCAAAGCTTTTTTCTTTTTTAAAAATCTGTTTCCATAGCCACTATCTTGGGTCTGACTGCCACCTCCCCAGTGATTTTGTTAGAAGTAAGATTGGACCAATCTGCTGATACGAATACACACCAGAGGAAGAATAAAAATCATGACAAAATGCTGTTATCAGTCAAAAACAGATTTTCAAACTGCATTTAATGAAACCTGTACATCCAGAAATATTTCTTTGAATACATTCATCTTCAGCTCTATTTTACAGTTGTAATTTTATCTCTGCATCATTGTTGTTATTTTAAATTACTTTAGGTGAACTACATAACCAACATAACCATTTTTTACAGGATTATCAGCATGATATTTATGCAGTTCTTCATATATTTACAGTACTTATAAAACAGTGCTGGAGCGTCAGGGTATTTTCTTTTCACAGCGTCCTGTGGTGCACTCCTCTCCACGTCCGGTCCACTTTAAGCGGTTCCTGGCAAAGATGTCATAGGATTTGTCCATCAATGGTCTCACAGGTGACCACATCATAAAGCGACCCAACCAACCGAGGCCTACGGCGCTATACATGACTGCAAACGCTGGGACTCCGCTGTGAACCTGGTAACACACAGCATGAAGGTGCATAATACAACACTTAGGTTAAACTGCATATTGTGAGGTTCATTAAAATCTTGGTTAAATAATCACCTTGTCTTTCTTATCAATCACGTGCATTTCCTTCATGGCCATCTCATAGGTGATAGCCTTGTATTTTGTTCCATCATAACCTGGCAGAGAGATATCAATGAAATGTACTTTCTCAGGCCGGTTTCTCTGCAGAAACTGGAGCAAACGGATCTCAGTCACACATATTGGACAAAGCCCATCATACAGAACCTGGAAAAGAGTGGAGAACAGACATTTACATGAGGAATTGTCTGATATTTTATCCCTAATTTTCCAAAATTCAGTTAAACTTGAAGGATATCAATCCTGTTGGGAGGCATAAACCCTTGTGGATTCATTTAACCTGCTTTGGTTCAAATGAAAGTACAACAGTTGCATTGGAGAAGCAGCAAAATGGTGAGACTGTTGCTCTCCCCATATCGCTCCTGACTGATATTTCTCTTTCCTTTTTGCTAGTTTCCTTGTCTCTACTGGTAGCGTTAGGTGGTACTTGCAGCCCATTCAGGTTGCACAGGTAGTTCCATATACTAATATGCCATCACAAGATGGTTTACAGTCTCAGTCTCAGCACAGGAGAGTGGAGGACATATAGGAGACGGGCTGCTACACAAGAAGAGCTGGACAGGGTTGCACAAGGGCATCAACGCAGCAGCAGGAGAGATAACGGCGCCTTTGTTCGAGGAGGAACAGAGCCCTTGAGAATGACCTACTTGTGCCAGCTTTTGATCAAACTGTAAGAAGAACCAGACTCCACGTGCATGACATGAGGGCCTGACCTTGCAGCTCAACCGAGTTTACCAAAGAAAAGCAGGACTGGCAGGTCCACCGATGGACCCATTCGCTTCACAAATAAATGCAGGTTCACACTGAACACATGTGACTGACATGAGAAATCATAATCTTTTTTCAAAAAGGCATGTTAACCTTGATGAGATTACCTCATTAATAGTCATTACATCAAAGATCCTGAATGATTTGAATTTGGCCCAGGAAAACGTCCATCAACTAAAAATTGAGTTGCGTATTGCCACAGCGTTGTCTTAAGTTAACAACGTTCAAAGTGCAACTTTCATTTTGCTCAGCTGGCACAGATACTACCACACAGTGAGGACAAGGTCAAAAATGAGTCTTACACATGTAAAATAAGCGTTATGAAATCGTAAGCGTGGTTTTAAATCATTTTATATTATACTGCCAAACTGGAGACGTTTCAACCAGTAACGCGGAATCATTTACTTTACAGGGTTTACATATTAACCAGTATATTATCCTAAAAACGGTTTACCCGTTTTACAGACCGCTAACTAAAATTTTAAAGACAAGTTTAGCAGAAACAGAGAGACAGTGGGAGCAACTCACCCTGACACCAGCAGACTCAGAACTGAAGGTGCGATGCTGATGTTTGCAGAGCACAGATGTTACTCTTGAATTTACACAACTGGGCAATCTGGCTAAACCCGAAGTCAAACATGTTCTCACTTTTGAAAACATCTGAAGCTACAAATGGCTACACAGCTCTAACTTGCACTGGAATCAACCCGACTTTTCCCCAACTAACAACCAGATTATACAAGCGTTTGAATAACTCTTGAATAACTTCTTCTTCCCCCTTTGAGGCAATCTAGGCTTTGTTTTATTATCGCCATCTAGTGGACTGGAGTGCGAGAAGTTCCCTGACTTACGTCTACAAACAGAAATGCTGAGTATTTATTTACATTTCCACATTCCATGTTTTTGTACGTTTAGTTTTCAGTTTGATTTTTTTATTTTATTTTTACACACATCTAATTAGCCAACTGAACAGGCTTTAGAACTGGGAAAAATGAGGTTTTAGTGACTTTGCAGGTATCCAGATGGCTGGTCTGAAACTGCTTGGATCACACAACCATAAAGAGAATGGTCAAAAAAAAAGAGAAATATCCAGTGACCACCAGTTTTCCGAGTGGAAACTTGATTGATGAAGTTGATGCCAGAGGTGCTTTGAGCCAAAATGAAGCATTTCAAATAACCACTGATTACAACCAAGGCATGGAGAAGAGCATGTCTAAATGCTCAACAAGTTAAAGATTGAAGCAGATGGGTTAGAGCTGCAGATGACCACACCTGGTGCCGGTTGTGAAAGATAAGGACAGGAAAGGGATGCTACAGTTTGAACATCTTTACCAAACTTGACACACTTTGAGACCTTTAGTACCAACTGAGCAGACTGGTTTCTCTGGCACACTTTCCAGATCTTAAGCCAACAGAGCATATTTGGGATGTGGTAGAACCGGAGATTCACATCATGTTTGTGCAACATCATATCTGCTGCAACTGTGTGATGCTAACATACTTTTATACACTAAAATCTCAGAGGAATGTTTCCAGCACCTTTGTATGATCTATGCACGCAGTTCGGAAAGAAAAAAGTGGCCCAACTCTGGCGTACCTAATGAAGTGGTTAGTGAGGATATGTCAGCTGTTTAATTTCTTTAAATTCTAATCCATAAATTGTAATTATTATTCTCTCAGTTGAATTTTATGTAGTGTTTGTTGTATTTCTTTCAAAACATGCGGTTTGCAGTAGAGATGGACCGATCCGATATTACGTATCTGTATCGGTCCGATACTGACCTAAATTACTGGATCGGATATCGGAGAAAAATAAAAAATGTAATCCGATCCATTAAATATCACGAAAGCACCTCACAAAACTTGCAACACCCCGTAACTCACCTCAGGTTAGCACGTCGGAGCAGTATGCATCGGCTGTGGCATGCAGGACCTGTGGTGGTCTGGATAGCATTTGGAGCTTCGCTAGCAACCCGGCATTTCATCTCCGACAAAGTTATCCCGAGAGAAGTAAAGCAAGTGTGTAAGTCCATCTCTGAATGTTTGTAAAGCATTCCTGCGTTAAGCTTAACAAGCGACTGCCTCTTCTTGCTGCTACTTCGATCATGAAACTGCTTAACGATCAGCTGATCGGCTTTTCTGTCGCCAGTCCCTGTCTCTAGTTTGCTTTTGGCCCACTTTGCACCAGAAAGAGGAAACCAGCGGCTGAACAACAGCAGCACGTTTAAGCTTGATCAGCTATTGTTAGAATGTATTTAATATTACTTTCTACACCAGGATCCTTTTCTACATAGCTGACGGCTGGTAACTGTGCAGGGGCGGATCTAGCAAAGTTTAGCCAGGGGGGCTGATAGGGCATTAACAGGGAAAAGGGGGCACAAAGACATACTTTTCTTTCTTATTCTCATTTAAAATGTCTAGCTTTTAATAAATAATTATCTGACAGCCAAAGTTTTAATTTGATGCAAAATGAATAGAAGTCCATTACTGTATATAGTAACTATTAAGTCTAATATACCCTAGTAAGCTATACTACTTTTTCCTTTGGGAAGGTACCATCTGTGCAGTCTGCAATTTTGTTGAAGAAAGATGTTGAATCTATTTAATATTTCTTGAAAAATAATTGATTTCTGTGCATTTTTTTTCACACTGCATCAAATTAAGGTTGATTACGTCGATTAAGCATCATGAGGTGGAGCGTGAGGGGTGGTTCCCTATTTTTTATTTATTTATTTTTGTTGTTGCTGGGAGTTGGAACCCTATTAGTTAGGTTGCTTAATATTTATGCTAAGTACTCTTTAAAATACCAGAATAGGGAGGATGGTGTAGGTCTAAGTTTATTAGATTGATCAGTATTGCTGTACTATGAAATATTTTTTTTGGATACAGGTATAACAGAATAGCTTTAGTGTAGTTGTTGTTTTAAACTTGAGTATGAACTTATACAAAATGCAGCAAGATATTTAAAAAACAGTTTTGTTGATTAAAAAACACCATATCGGATTCATATCGGTATCGGCAGATATCCAAATTTATGATATCGGTATCGGTATCGGACATAAAAAAGTGGTATCGTGCCATCTCTAGTTTGCAGTCTCAATAGCTGATTAATGAGGAGGTTGAATTGGAGCACATTATCGCTCAGCATCTAGACATCTTTAAATAACTCATGAAAGAAAAAAAACAGAGCTCACAGCACCTCTAAAAGATACACCAATAATCCATACCGGATTAATTTGCATAAAAACTAGGGATTTTGTGCTAAGCTGAAAGAATATCCAGTGACTACATCAATTTAAACAACTCATAATTTTAAGAAAATAAAATAGAGACCAATTATTTCCAGCATTCACATTCAGCAACCACATGGCCCAACACTGCTGACATTGAATTTGTAGCCAGCGCTGTTTTTCACAACATGTACAAAACACAGTTTTTCAGTTAATTAATTTTTACTTAATCAAAGCGTGCAGACAAACCATAAAATTAAGAAAGCCTTCCTAATATTGTATAAGTCCCTCCCACATGTACTGAAAAAACAGCTCTGGGGATCTAGTTAGATTGGCACGAAGTTCCAAGCATTTTTTTTTTTCAGTTAGCCCTGCTGAGGGAGACCCCCTGCCATCGGGGGGTGCCATTGTATTGGGGGCATGACATCAAAACATAAATCCCAGCTTTAAAGGTTTCCCAAAAGAGCATGTCATTTTGACCAACCCACCTGCAGTGCACAAACACATAGGAGTAGACAAACACTGCTTACATGAGTTCAAAGGGCCTCGGCAGTAAAACCAATGTATGTCTATGAAAGGGTCGTATGTTAAAAGAAACATATTTTAGCAGTTGAATTACACTTCCTACAAGCATTTATTGTCATCAATATCTAGTGCTTGGCTATTGCTCTATTTTGTATGGCCACTCATATTTTGCATGACAGCACACATGATGAGATCAAAGAGCTTACAGCAGAGTGAACTCTGTCCCAGTGCAAGACTGTGTCACATGGACTGAGTTCATAGACTTTGCGATACAGTTTCAAGGACTGGGCCGAGGTGAGGTCTTGTGAAACTTATAATGGATGCAAAATATGTGAATCTAACTCTTTCTTTGAAAAGTTGCACTTGTTTATTTTCTGTTCACTTATTTTTGCTGTTCCCACTTTCTAGCCGGAGAATTGAACATGCCCCCCGCAGCAGCAACCAATCTAGGCTACACCCCACCAGACGGAGGCTGGGGCTGGGCTGTCGTCTTCGGCGCTTTCATCTCCATAGGATTCTCGTATGCCTTTCCTAAGTCCCTCACCATCTATTTCAAGGAGATTCAGGAATATTTTTCAGTTTCCTACAGTGAGATTGCCTGGGTGTCCTCAGTCATGCTTGCTTCTATGTATGCAGGAGGTTAGTGGCCGTCATACTTCAAGTATTGGCACATTCCCAAGCAGCGTATCCCATGACCGGATTTGTCAAGAAAAATTTGTCCCTCAGAACGTTGCCAAAAATGTAAGATATTTCTCTCCTGTGTGCAGGCCCTGTCAGCAGTATACTGGTCAATCGCTATGGCAGCAGACCTGTGGTTATAGTTGGCGGGGTCCTGGTTTGCACTGGCATGGCTCTCGCTTCTTTTGGAACTAATATAATACATCTGTACCTCTGTGTTGGAGTAATTGGAGGTAAATTATGTTTCCTTTTTTTGTTAACAGTCAGATAGGCTAGTCCAACAATTTAAAAAACTATCCTTTAAAACGATTCACTTTCTTACAGTGCACATGTTCAATTCAGTTTTGTGTTATTTTTCTGGTATAGCTGTTTCTGTCCTTTATAATGTTTGCTTTATGATACCTGGTTGTAACTGGACTACACTGAAGGAAGGAGTGGTTGTGTTGTAACTCTCATTCAGTCTTTTACTATCAGGATCAATCCACAGGGATTGTTTATGTCCCTGTGTAAAGCAGAGTTGGTCGTTCAGTGCAGCGAGTACAATGACCCTTATGATATAATATAAGTTATAATCCCCTCTTACAACATCAAAGCAATGTTTAGATTTGGGTAAAACCTTTTTTGTCCTGTTAATTCAGGTGCATTTGGAACATCCACACATGCACATGTGCAGGCAAAACCACACGATCATTTTACTAACTGAGAGGAAACAAACCTCTCAGACTTTAAACCTAATCTTTAATCTAGTAGCACTGCACCAGTCAGAGACGTACAGAAAAGAAATGCCCAAACCATGGGACTAGTTATATTTTTTTTTCTGTAAACAAATCATCACCGATATAAAACTAATGTCACAGATAATAATAAGAGGTGCATTCAACTGTCTAAAAGTACTTTTTAAACTGATACTTTAGGCACTTTATTCAAAATATTCTAAAGGGAATAATTCATAAATTACTGTGTGTAATTTTAAACTTATTTTTAACAGGTTTTGGTCTCGCCTTCAACTTGCAGCCCTCCCTGACGATCATAGGCACTTACTTCCAGGTCAAAAGGCCCATGGCCAATGGACTCGCTATGACTGGAAGTCCGGTTATTCTCTCCACTCTGGCGCCTCTCAATCAGTTTCTGTTTGATTCCTTTGGTTGGAGGGGAAGCTTCCTCATCCTGGGATCCATTGTTTTGAACTGCTGTGTAGCTGGTGCTTTGATGAGACCAGTCAACAAAAGCATACCACGGAAAACAATAGATGAGTCATCAAAGTGTGAAAGCGAAGCTCAGGAACACGCTGCTGCTGAAGACACCACTACCCACTCCGATAACCTTCAGACTGAAGATCAAAGTGAGAGCAAGGGTCACAGCTTTGTGCAGAAATTCATAGATCTCTCACTTTTCAGACACAGGGGCTTCCTCATTTATCTAATTGGTAATGTGGTCTTGTTTTTTGGCTTTTTTGCACCTGTGGTTTTCATGGCTCCATATGCCAAACATCAAGGGATTGATGAATATTCAGCAGCTTTCTTGCTCTCCATTTTTGCTCTGGCGGACATGTTCATTAGACCGACAACTGGCTTAGTTGGCAACACCAAGTGGATCAGGCCGAGAATACAGTATTTTTTCAGTTTTGCTGTTTCATACAATGGCGTATGTCACCTAATGTGCCCACTGGCGTCTGGCTATACGGGCCTAGTTGTATATGCTGTCTTCTTTGGTTTGGCATTTGGGATGCTTTCTGCACTCCTTTTTGAAGTTCTAATGGACCTTGTTGGAGCTCCTCGTTTCTCCACTGCCGTTGGACTTGTCACCATTATTGAGTGTGGGCCAGTGCTTCTGGGACCTCCAATGGCAGGTTTGTGGTGTTTTTTTTCTTCTCTTTTTTTCCATTGAATTGTGATTTTGATTATACACATAAGCAAAGTATAGAAATTTCCAAGATGGAGTTACTAACAGATTATGTGTGTTCTCTTTCAGGAGCTTTGGTTGATTATTTTGGTGATTACAAATACATATATTATGCATGCGGTGTATTCATGCTGGTTTCTGGCATATTTTTCTTCGTTATGCATTACTACAACTATAAAAAACTGGATGAGGAGCGCGGAAAGAGCAAAGCAATGGAGACAAGGAATTCTGACGAGGCAGTACAACTAAAAATGAACCAGGCTGATAGAACGATGAATGAAACAGATGAATGAACTTGCTGACTATGACTTTATTTCAGTGGATGCATACAAAATGACACTACAAAGGCTTTTTATCCAGTATGTAAATGTATTTTGTACCTTAAATGACTTAGTTAGAGTAGTTAGACTTTTACATATTTGCAGATTCACATTTGTTATTTTGTAAATGCTCATATTACGTATATTATTATTATTACAGTGTGTGGCATATGTAACTCTCATGGATTTGTTAATAAATCTCCAGGAACTAACTATGTTCCTTCTAATGCAATCCTTATGGCTTTATAAACTTAAGCAGTTCATTTGGTTTCTTCATCAATTAAATAATAATAAATCTTCTGACTCTTATTTCTGAATAATGTAAGAAAAGAAGTCCAAACCCACATGCAGTCACAGTTTAGTGTTACTAAACTGTGTTACTTATTACCACTAGATGGCACTGAACCCTATCACATGAAAACTGAAGCCACACACATCTTTTCCATTAAACTTCAATTAAACAACAGGCATCCTCATGCCCCGGGCTCAGTTCTCTACAGCATCGCTTTCCATAATCTGGGTCATGACCCCCGGCCCAATGGGAAGATAGCTATTTTGAATAGTTTACAACATTTGCAACAGTAAAAACAAAATTTAGGTGTCTGTTGTGAAGACTGCAGTTTCTGACTTAAATAGCTTCCCTGAAATCCTTCTCACTCTAAAAAGGCGAAAGGAAGATTCATTCTTTATGTTCTAGTCTACAGTAAAACACATTTTGAATGTCATGGGGATCTGTAAAAGTTGTTTCACTGCAGCATAGCTTCAGTGAAGTCATAAAAATTCAGTATGAAGTTATGGAAATATTTGAGAATTAACTTTTAAATAAGTGTGGTGAACCCAATGTGCATTTAATAAGATTGGATTTGCAGGTGTGGCTGAGGAAATGAAACGCTTTACTTATCCTCACAGACATAGAAAAAAATGTATTGTGCATATAACACATTTAAGCTGTAGGTCAGACCTTTAGATATGTGAATGTGAATCTGCAATGAACATATACATTGCTGTCATATGGACAATCAAGACAGGTCAGCCCGTCTCTCCATAGGTCAACCTTTCTCTGCACACACATCATGATTTTAAACCCTTAGAATTCATCCTCAAGCACTAATGCAATACAAGATTCATGTGCAAGCCATAAAAAATGAACAATGCTATTATTACAGATGTATGCTTAAATGATCCATCCTCATCATGTGCCTGTAAGGTGCATATTGACTCCCTTTCTGGATGAACAAAAATTGCTCATGTGAGTGAATCAATACTTTAATGTATAGTGTAAAGTAATGTTACTTAAAAATCAGATAAACAGTGTAAATCCCTTTGTTATGGCTGAATGAACTTCTTTTTGGATTTTAGTCCAATTTCAGTCAACTAGGCATCATTTGATCAGATCCAGTTTGGGCAAAAGTAGCAACAATGAAAGTCTGATTGACTTTGGGTTGTTTTGATCCAGTTTTAATGGTATGAGAATCTAATCTGACCTAAAGATTTTTTTTCTACAGTAGAATTACAAATGAGCCAAACTGGTAAGATTATTAATTGTAGAGAAGTATTGAAAATGAAAAGTCTCAAAAGCATGTATCCATGTATCCACTGTATATACTGCATTTTCTCAGTGGCAGGACATTTATTTATCTCAACTGCAGAAAGCAACAGCACTATATCTGAGCCAGGCTTGCATCAGAGACAGGGTTTTCTTTCTAAGTCCTTCTGTTTGACAAGAGCAAGTGGTCATGATCGTGTAACAAAGGCTTGTTTCGATTTGCTTCCATTTGCTCCTCTTCAGTTGGTGCCTTATGCTGATTATACCATAGCAAGCGATGACTCACTCATTAGACAGCTGAATAAGATCACTCGAATACGACCACAAAATTGCTTTAATTTCCATACGTCTAAAAATATATTATACTCTGGTTTACATATGTTTTGATTTCTCGTGAATTAATTACAAATTTGATCGTTGTTGAGGAGTTTGTTTTTAAGGGTTATTATTTATTTTCTGTTTTTTTTTAATGAATTTATATTTTTTATCAGTAACATGATCATTATCATTCTATCTCTGTCTGTTATTTTCTCACCAGCACATTCATTTTGTGGTTTGTAAAATGGAAGATAACCAGGAATACATTTTCATCACAATTACCCAGACCTCAAAGAGACATTTTCAGTTGTCCTCATTTACCTGACTAAGACTCCAAGTCCAAAATAATTTCTGTAACTTTAGTCCAGTTTTTGTCATTTTAAGTCGTGTTTTTGTTCATAAGTTTAAAAAGTAAAGAATGACTCTATCTTGCTGCTAAGTAAAGAAGACAATATTTCACAAAGCGACACATTTCTTCTTAATACTGAACATGAATAATTTCCACTACTCTGAACATGACATTAAAAGGGGAAAGAGCATATTATTAACAGTCATGTACATCTACAAAAACTGGAGTAAATACAATTTGAAGCCAAACCATGGAGAAAATGATGGTACCAGTGGAGTATCAGTAGAATAGAATAGCATAGAACAGAATAGAATAGCCCCATGTCATTGTAGAGGTACATACAATTTGAAAAGTGCTTGGAAGTAGTGCAAAGACAAGACTTGATCTGAATAGAGTCTGTGTGTGAGTGACCTGAATGATGGGGGTTACTCAGACCATGGCTCAGATTAGTGCAGTGGGTGGACAGGGATGTGGTGTGGGGGGGATAGTGTTTATTGACACTCCAAATGGCAGAGGGAAGAAGCTGTTTGTGAGTCTAGAGGTGTGGGACCTGATTGACCTGAGGTGCTGACCAGAGGACAGCTGATCAAACAGGTGGTGGGTGGGGTGCAAGGCGTTCTTCTGAGACAGGAGGCTTTCACCAGGGTGTTGATGTTGTGGGTCCAGATGAGCTCAGCTGAGATGTGGGTGCCCAGAAACCTGAAGGTAGACACGAATTCTACCCGTCCTCTGTTTAGAATGAGTGGGGAATGAGTTATGAGTTATTTTGTTTTAAGGACGTTCAGCTTCAGGTTATTTTCTGAGCAGCAGCAGGACAAGTTCTCTACCGCTGCCCTGTACACTGTATTATCTCCATTAGAGATAAACCCAACCACCGTCACCGGTGTCACCGGCATACTTGACGATAACGTTGGTTGGATGCATTGGTGTGCAGTAGGAGGGCGGAGAATGCAGCCCAGCGAGATCTGGTGCTGAGTGACGGGGGGCTGAGTTGGACTGACTGAGGTCGGTTGGTGAGGAAGTTTTTGATCCAGTAGCAGGTGGCAGGGGGTATCTGACGGTGGTCCAGTTTGGTGAGGATGTCTGGTATTATGGTGTTAAACACTGAGCAGTAGTCCCAGAAGAGCATCCTCACGTGGCTCTTCCTGTTCTCCAGATGGCTCAGCGCTCTGTGAAGGGTGATGGTGATGGCATCCTCCGTGGACCGATTAGTTCTGCAAGCAAACTGGTGGGGGTCAAGGGAGGGGGATAGACAATCTCTCATGTACTTTAACATTATATGCTGTGAGGACTATAGGTCTGTAGTCATTGAGCCTGTTTATACTAGTCTTTTTGGGGATGAGAATGATAGTGGAGGCTTTCAGACAGTTGGGAGAGTACATAAAGGAAAACTCGAATACATTATTATAAAATTGTTGTAACCCAAAAGGATTATGCAGTGTAGATATGACAAATCTGTATGTATCCCAGTGGAATAGATATGAGTAGACAGAAAGTGAGAGAGTGAAGACCACCAATTAGTGGTGGTTCCCATAAGCTCTGTATCATCTCCTCACTGAACAGCTTGAGCATAATCACTGTGATGAACTGTGACTGATGTCAGTAAATCTGACCGTAATTGGGACCAAGAAGATTGAATCCAGGCAGCTCTGTGTCCAATCAAGGTGATGACTGCTCCCGTGGGGAGACATGGTGTTTTTACCATGCTGGTTTAAGCACTTGCACCCTTAACCACACAGCTGGGATGTTTGCAAAGAAATAAGTGATACTGTCTGTTTAATTCAACATGTTTGTTAATAATCTCTGCTAATCTGCTTCACCCACAGCAGCAGAACTAATCTGTCTGCACATTGTTTACACTCTGAGGGAGGGCAACATCGTGCATATACCAGAGACTTAAGAGTTTATTCATCAGCCCTGTGGATGAAGCTGCTAACAAGACATCACTGGTCAAAAATAAACATCGATAGCCAGATCTGGCTATGCATAGATATATTAGATGCGTTGACATGTTCTTGCAGAGAGAGGACCACTTGCTACATCAGCCTGTCCAAGGAGTCCCCAAGGATTATATCCAACCGAGACTAGATATATCAGATCATCAAAGATAAGGCAGTACTCTACTCTCAAAATCAAACACTTTGAAAGAATACTGCCTTGTTTTAGGCCATAATCACCCTGATTTACATATATGTAGATCAAAATCATACGCACATCACAAATGTTTAGAAAAATAGATTTTCTCCTGCAAAAGCAGTAAACATCTGAATATAAAGAGGGTAACATGGTGGGAATCTAGATATTACTTCACCCTCAAAAACCCAAAGAGGGCAACCTGAATCAGATGAAAGTTTATCTGTTCTACGAAACACTCATGGCTGATTATACTGGTTCATCTTTAAAGGACTGTTCACAGACATATGAGCAGTAAGCTGTTAGCAGTGATGGAATATAACAGAGTGAATTTGCTCAAGTACATTACACTGGTAAAAATGTGAGGTATCTGTACTTTCCTTGAATATATCTAATACTGTTACATGCATCTAGCTACAGTAGTTATCTTCCAGTTAAAAGGCTAAAGAAAGAAAGAAAGAAAAATGAAAAAAGAATATATATAGATAGATAGATAGATAGATAGATAGATAGATAGATAGATAGATAGATAGATAGATGAGGTGGTAGAATTAAGAACAGTATCTGAAAAATACCTGTATTAAGAAGTAGAAAAAAAACAGCAACTGACCCAGAAATACTGACACGTTGCCTGCGTCTGGTGCATCAAAGGCTTTACTGTGACCCAACAATACTAAAGCAGAGCAATTTCTTTGTCATTCATTACGCTGTCTCTCTACCAGTGTATCATATGAGAATATGTATACAGTGTAAGAATAAAAAAGCGACTACTACTCTAAATCCATAGCAAATCATTATCTGCAGCTCTTTAGCTTTATGGAGCCAGTTTTAGCTCAGTGCTTAACTGTTCAGTTCATAAATTTTATATGACAGTAGTCCTAATACAGCGCCTTGGGGGACTCCACAAGAGAATACGTTCAACATTCACTCTCCTTTTAGTTGTTTTTGATCTATACCATGTCT